GCAACCATCCACTACCAAACCATTGCTAGCCATTGCCTTCTGTTCAGTCTCGGAGCAGTACAAATCAGCGCCAGGTGCCTGATATTTCCAAGCTACATTGTGGGTTCTGCCTTGACTTGGACATCCTTCCACCTGTGCTCGGTCGAATTGAACAAGATGAACGGGGATAGCTACGTAACTAGAGGTAAGAATAGGGGCTTACTTGGAGTGACCTCCTCTGAGCGGTAACATAGCTGACCTGTGACAATTCATAGACTCTGGGCGATCGCGAGACTATTACGTATGTTACCGCGATAACTCCTTTTGTTTAACCTTTGATCCATTACGAACCTGTTCCTGTGCTCTGCTTATACGTTATATTTTGCTAGGGTGGCGCTCGCTCTGATCGAGAGGATAGAAAAGACCGTAGTGATCGCAGTAGCCGTGGCGATCGTAGTGATAGACGGGAGAGAGAAAGAAGAAGATCAAGATCTCCTCAACATGGGTCGAGGTCGGGGCGGCGCGAGCAGGAACCGGACTTGTACTCTTCCAGTCGTGACTATCGCGCAAGAGAGCGGGAGGACAGATATTCAGGTCGAAGGGATGAGAGAGAATGGGATAGAGACCGAAGCGAGAGACGACGTGATCATAGAAGAGACGATGATGAGAGATCTCGACGTGACAGAGACATGCCTGATGACCGGTCGCGAGGAGGTAGAGGTCGAGATCGCGATGCTTTGGGCGGGGGTAGGGAGCGGAAGAGAAGCGCGAGCCCACCGCCAAAGAAGAGAGAACCCACGCCAGATTTGACGGACGTTGTTCCGATTCTTGAGCGGAAACGTCGACTGACGCAGTGGGATATCAAACCGCCTGGTTATGAACATGTAACGGCAGAGCAGGCGAAGCTCTCCGGTGAGTTGAAAATTGTAATGATATCATGCCCATTTGAGCTTTTACCTAACGTTACCTGCAGGCATGTTTCCTCTTCCAGGTGCACCGCGGCAGCAGGCAGTCGACCCCAGCCGGCTGCAAGCTTTCATTCACCCACCTACTACCATTACTGCTCCTGGTTCATCTACTAACACTGTCCTAAAACCCTCAAACTCTCGCCAAGCGAAGCGTCTTTTTGTTCATAATCTCCCGCCATCGGCTACAGAGGAGAGATTGGTGCAGTTCTTCAATCTCCAACTGAATGGTCTTAATGTCATCAAAGGGGTCGATCCATGCTTGTCCGCGCAACTATCCAGAGATAAGACTTTCGCTCTACTTGAGTTCCGAAATGCTGCGGATACTACTGTTGCACTGGCTTTTGATGGTATTACAATGGAGGATAGTGGCGAAATGGATACATCGAACGGAGATGTCGACGGGCCAAGCCAAGGACTCTCAATACGTCGACCTAAGGATTACATACTTCCATCTGCAGTGGAAGAGGAGCCCCAGCAGGAGGGCGTTGTATCTAACGTAGTCCCTGATTCCCCGAACAAGATATGTGTCTCGAATATTCCACCATTTATTGAGGAAGAACCAGTCACTATGCTCCTTGTTTCTTTCGGAGAACTTAAGTCGTTTATCCTTGTAAAAGATAGCGAGACGGGCGAATCTAGGGTAAGCGTAATACTCTCAACTGTTACAATATAATTCTAACTGGTATTAGGGAATTGCGTTTTGCGAGTACCTTGATCCGACGTCGACAGAAATCGCTGTTGAAAATTTGAATGGCATGGAACTCGGGAACAAGAGACTCAAAGTGGTCCGTGCAAGTGTTGGAACCACACAAGCTGCTGGCCTCGACATGGGCGTTAATGCCATGTCCATGTATGCCAAAACAACTTCTCAGGACATTGAAGCTAGTCGTGTTCTTCAGTTGTTGAACATGGTAACGACTGAAGAGCTAATGGACAACGATGATTATGAAGGTATGCAACCCTGTATTTGGATAATTATTCTTATTGTATGACCCCGCTTCGCTTGTTTACTAATGTCCCTTATAGAAATATGCGATGATGTTCGTGATGAGTGCTCAAAATACGGGGAAGTCGTGGAGCTAAAGGTCCCAAGACCAACGGGGAATAACAAACAATCAGCGGGCGTTGGCAAAATATATGTTGAATTTGATAATAGCGAGTCTGCCACGAAAGCGCTAAAGGCGCTTGCGGGGAGGAAATTTCAGGATCGAACCGTTGTGACCACATACTTTTCAGAGGTAAGCCGAGCTCAATCCGGCGAAAAATTTGTGGACAAGATAATCTAACAGAGTACAGGAAAATTTCGAAGTCAATGCATGGTAATCGACGTAGCAGGGGAAATTGAGAATTCTTGGACTTGTCTTCATTTCCATCGCAACTCCAGCAAACCCGCAACTTCGTTTAGGAACTAGCTTTCCTTACCACATATTTTCTCGGACGGCGTCCTTCTTTCCCATTTCCTCTTTAACTTATTTTGTTCCCTTCGCACCCATCTCGGCGCAAGTTCCTTCGTCAAATACAAACAGCAGCTGGCTGGAACACTTGGCATGCGCAATTTCACTGTAACATAACTCAATATTGTAAGATCCTTTTTCCCAAAATCTCTTTATAATTCTTCTGTCATTTGTGAAGTATCATGGGCTGGGTGGATAATCAAGGCGAAATAATTATGATATGGTCTCTCATTTATATCTTTATATGTTCTTTATTTTACACTGTACTTTTTAAAGGCCAATTTTGACCACTCAATTTAACTCAAGAGTACATGATAATATGCGACTCTCGCCAGAGCGACATACATAAAAAAAGGGGCGAAACACTCTCGGCTTTCCTCTTGCAAAAGCCACCATGAAGTGGATATTATAGGAGTGATATTCATTGACACTATTCAACAAGAGAATGTACCCAGGTGGATTCTCTATTATCAGAGAATAAACTAGCACTAGCATATGCAGCAGACTGCTCATCTGAGATAGTATACACTCATTACATTGAATTTCTCTTCATGCACAAACAGGTAAGATTAAGTATTAATCTAGCTATTCTATTCTAAAATATAACTGAAAATATATATAAATGTAAGAAACTATACTTCTCACAGGTTTTCTTATCTCTATTCTTATCACTCACAGATCTTGACTACATATTCTATATAGACTGCAGTTGCTATTATCTTTTTATAACTCAGCTTGAATACTTTTAACTATTCTTTAACACTCACTAACTTTATTAATTAAGACTGTATTCAGTTACTTATACAAGCTTGTAAAATCTGCTCATAATAAGTGAATATTAGTTCACTGTCAATATTATATTTAAGTAAGAAATATAATCTGTCTCACTACTATACACTCTTATATGAGATAAAATTATACTAGTAAAATAATCTAAATACTGAGCTTACACAATTTTATACATCTCTTATTTTATCTATTTCAGTTATAACTCTTTATTATTCAGTATAATTATACTGTTGAAATTTAATCACATGTACTCAAGAATGACAGGTCAAACACAAGATTTTTTTCATGCAGATAATTTAAATATAGTAGGTAAAATTGTGTAAGTGAGTCTTTTATAAAGAGCTTACACAAGATTAAATAAGCAACTGAACACACTCTAAGTGACAAGAATAGAGATAAAAGATTCACAAGAAGCAGAGTTTCTTACATATAATCTAGAGCTAGCTCTCTGTGAGAATAATGAAGAATCAATCATCTCACAGCAGCAGCTCTTCACAAGATCAATTATCAAAGCTCTACAAACTTTAGAATGATAGCAAAGAATACTCTCACTCTAGTATTCTTGAGTTAGTCATTTTTCACTGGCCAGAAAAATGATATAAGAAATTCAAGAAGCCATAGACTCTTTGTGTGTGAATGACTAGTTGTATATGACAGCAGCTGAAACTTCTTCATCAAGTGTAACACTGTTGTCTCAGACAAGAGAGAATCACTGCATACATCATGACTGATAATAGAGAGCAAGATCATCTCATGAAAAAGTGCATGCACAATGAGAGGTATGTGTGATAGTGTGTTGTAGCAGTAAAAACTATACCTAAACAACGCGAGCTTGTCCACGACGAGGGAGGGCCTGTTGGGTATTTCTCTTCTTCTCCATCCAACCGTTTGTATTAAATGAGAGGGAAGGGGGCGAAGGGATGTAATCTTCAATGTAACTCCTCTCATTCTGAGGAATTTGAAAAAAAGTTAGGACGACAATAGGTTACCATCATTAGACGAGCAGTTGACGTTTCGGAAGGAAACTTGATGCCATTGTAGCCAAGAGCTGATTGTAAAGGTCATGTCGGCATAAATAATAAGAAGCAATTTTTGCCACATACTTGAAAATGACAGTTTCTTTTCCAAAAATGACTCTGATCAAATTTTTATTAAAGTGAAGGCTAATAATAATGATCATCAATGGGGTCTATAGGTAAAATAAGGTTTTTTACAGGAGATAGGCACCAGAACCAGAACGTTGGAACTATATATATATATAAGGGCCTGTTCGGTGATTTTTTCCGTACAGTGCCAGGGCCGTACAGAAAGTGGATATTTAACTTCTGACAGTGTAAACCTTCATTATTTCCACCTTTCCTTATATGAATAGTAGTCTGCTTGGTGTTTTGGCATTACTTTTTCCCTTATGAGTGATTTTTTATGATGTATGTAGCAGTTTGAAAATCCTGTTATATTACTACCTTTACACACCAAATATCAGTGAAAAATGGATATTATATTAATAAGTCTCAAATTGATCACTTCTGCAGCAGCAAGTCTTATTTACTGCTGTCTATGACATAGATACTGTCATATTGTCTCCCAGGTTGCATTATCACGGTTGCTCATCATGGTTGTTGATTTTTGATGATAGTTGCAGGTCTCTGGATGCTGTACAGCCACGCTGGAACATATCAGCATATATCACAACTTGTTCCAGTGTATACAGTACAGATTTAACTTGAATAGATTTAGATCTATCACTTTTTCAGCTAAATACACTGTTGAACTCTATAATATGAATCTGACTGCCAGCTTGACATGCTTGGCGAGTTGTACAGAGTTATATACAGAATCTACCGAACAGAAGGCCTTATCCGGCCAGGTTAGCATGTATAACCCCGGCCAGAGCCGTCCAGGGCTGTACAAGCTGGCACTGTACGGACTTATACGGCCCTGGACGGGGTCACCGAACAGGCCCTTATTTTAACTAATTTATTTTCTAAAAATTAATTAGATAGTAGAAATTACTAATGACGAGTAGTTTGTTGGTAATTTCTTGTCCCTGACAGATTTTCGAACGCGTTATACAGGAGTGAGTAATTAGCTGACCCCTTGCCTGGCTCTCTTTGTCGTTTCGTCACAGCGGCAGCAGGTCAAATGCCAGGGAAAACGGGAAACAAAAATGAAAATGAAATAAAATCCAACGCCCATTCCCATCCAAAAATAGTCAATAATCAAAAAGACAGAACAAGGAAATCACATAAATAGGGGGACCAAAAACACTGTTTCCATGCCGCCATACGCCATGCTTATACAGCCCCAGAAAAGAAACATTAGACCAACAAATCAAGATAAACAAAAAAAGGCATTTGTCAACAGATTAGGGCACCTCTGATTACCCTTGGGTAAGTAGCCCATTTCCAAAAACTTTCGCAGGTGCTTTTTCGTTGTTTCCCACCTTTGGCCCCTTCTTGTCTCTTTGATCGCCATAAAAGGCTCTGCATGTAAGGGTGGCCAATACGTACATGTACAGTACAAAATCGAAAGTGATGAGCGAGAAATATAATAGAGCAAACGAGACTTTGAAGAAGGGATAGCCCTAAAGGAAGTCAACACACTGGGGAAGGGCGATAAGGACAGCACACTGAAATTTAAACAATGATTGAACGTGGACAAGACGTATTAGGCTCTGAGGGTGTATCAAGTTGAGGTGGGTGTAAGGAAACTAAGTTAAAGCTGATAGACGTTGGACATGAATCCTGTTCTTAATGCGTACACATGAATTCGCGCACACACAGAGGAAAATTAAGGCGCAAGGGGAGGAGAGAGAGCACGGCCAGGTATCAATAGGCAGGGGCAAATCCACATGCCAAGTAAATAAAGGGGTTATAAATAAGTTTGTACACGAATAGTGGTTGGTGAGAGTAGAGCTTCTTGCCTTGTCCTTCTGCTTTAGTTCCCAAAATAGAATTGTGAGGAGGACATCAATGGTTGCTATCTCCATACCAGTATGAGCCCTGCGGGTTTCCCTGAGCAAATGATGTCTGTGGATTCCAATCGCGACTGCCCGTGTAGCGACCGTGGTTATTGTGGTTTTGTGAAGCGCTCGGGGGTCGAGGCGTCGAAAAACTCAGTGCGGGACTGGTATATCTCACTTCGGGAGCATAGACTTCTGATTCCCCTTTTCCTGTGGAGAATCGAACAGTAGACATCGAAAGAACCGAGGGACTTGAAGAAAGTAGAGGTTCAGGGGTCTTAACCGCCTCCTTCCGGGGCGGGTTGATCATCTCATAATCGCGCGTAGAAGCCCCGCCCCGAGCATCTACGGAGACGAATTCTCCGCTGCGCATCAGTTTTCGTTTGACAAGGTCTATCCAGCCGAGAATCATGGAATACCGACCGAGGAAAAAAATGGTCCATATCCCACTAAGAGACAATAAGACTAGGACGGCGAAGATGGATGCTTCATTGGGTCCCAGACTTGAGGCCAAGTGTGCGCATTTATTCTTATCTCCTTTGGACAATACCAGGCAAAAAATCCAGGGTTCAGATTTCTTCGCTAGTTCTGGTGTCCTTCGAGCACTATTATCCAAGGATAAGAATATGATTGTGAAAAAAATGACATTTGCGATAATTGTAAGGACCACTGCAATGCCTCTCCATTGCAATTGAATGACCCTCCTCACACGACGGTAGGCTTGGCGAGCTGATACAGTCCGGACGCTTCCGGGGTGGGACGGTCGTACTGAACTATTATCAGTAGTCGGGTTGTTGTCCAGGAGTGATTTGATGTAGACGTGTATGCAATATGCTAATGTCACGAATTGGATCACCAACGCGGCGGCGGCTAAACCCATCAATGGGCCCCAGAAATCCGCCAGGCTGTTGTCATGATTAATGTGGCATATGCTGCCGAATCGATAGGATACCCCCGTGATGGCTAAGCCAAGGGCCAGGCCGACCGCTGGTAATATCCAACCTACTGTCAGCGTTGTGAAAAAAAAATGATTTCCGGGCACCACATCCCAGCAGATCTGTAGGTGCAGTGATAGAGCGCGACAGAAGCCTTCGTAATCAGATTAGCATCGAAGACGGAGTATTTTTAGGTACATAGAGGTTGAAAAAAATTTCTGAGGGCATACTCCACACAATGACGGCCCAGCCACCAAATATTATAAAGGAGCCTGAGAACGCGCACGCTAAATCCGACTTCATATCGTTGGGGGTTATCGCGTTAAAACATTCGTCTGGTTTGGCGATCAAAGGGACAATAAACGAGAGCTATTCAATGAGATGTCAGCAGGATTCTCGACTTGGCCCAGACCCAAAGATGCTGCGTCAACCAGGCTGCTTTGATGGGAGGAGGAATGGGGTATTACCTCCATAAATACAATCCCAACCGTCAGACACACACTTAAATAGTGACGATGCGTCCATTTCACTGGTAATGCTGCAAAGCTAATCAACAGCAGGCAGTTCAAGGTGAAGATTGCCACGGCAATCCAATTTGCAACTCCGGTTTTATTTATGAAGTCTTTTGCGGCATGTTAGTCTGAATCGATTGTGATTTGGAATCAGCCGCTGATAGGAGGGATATAATTACTGTTAGGGTATCTCCAGGCTGCATGAGGGCATGGAAGGCAGCAGGACGTATTTCCATTCGCTCCGAGTGGGATTTGCTCGCACCATCTACCAGTAACAACTGCGATGTTTTAGCTTTCGCACAAGCAGCACGGAATGTATAGAACGCATCATTATCATTGGGGATACGAATAGGAAAGTGAGGAATTTGACATACATCCGCCAATAGACGGGAAGAGGTCTTCCTGCATGAACGGGGCCGGGCAAAGGCCATGTGTACTCGAAGTGTCGGTCATATCTGTCGTTGTCCGCGCGTTGATGGTGGTGATGGTGGTTCCTTTTCGTTTAAAACTGCCCTGAGGACCTAAACAATCTCATATCCTCCTTGAACGCATCGGAAGCGGCCACCGGTAGTATGCGATAGGTATACGGCGGGATTATCCCCAATCGTCATAGCCCGGAGGCTATACGAATTCTGGAGGCTCAAGACGATGAAGGAGGGGCAGGCGAAAGGAATCAATGGCTCCGAGGTATAAAGTTCCCGCGCATCTGCAATGATTGTTTAAATAGAAGAAAAAAAGGAAAATGATATGGAGAATCTACTTCATATAGAAAATAATGAAGTACAAAATATGCAGTGCTAAACGAAAGGAAGGAGAGCCATCAAGGTTCCAAAAATCAAATCCAAGGGGGACCATGCCAATATAATAAGGAAGAAACTCCGGAGGAGTCCCAGGAGAGGGTCGAAGCCCAACTGATAGCCATGGTTAGCCAAAACTAATATCAGTGGAATATAATTTACCCTCTTTTTTTTTTTTTGGCACCAAGGTCGTGTATCCGCTAATGAAGACGTACATACAACGAGGGACCAAGGTACTCTCTCTGGCGCGGCCTCAGCGTACCCATGGCGATACATCGCAAGAAAAAGGGCGGATAAGAAATCGTACTGGAGGATTCGGGAAAGTGGGACAACCCTCTCCAGCCCGCAAGCATGCGATGTAAGAGGGATGAGCGCCATCAGAGGGAACAGTTCCACCAAGAACAGAGCCCCGCCTATCATAGCCCCGGGCAGCCAACCTCCAGCAGAAAGTCCCCCTGCCATGCTTGACATCCTTGCCCCCCCTCCAGGCACAGCAGGCAAATCCAGCTGGCCGCACGGTCGACGGCATTTCTGCATGCCTTACTCCGTATTTGTTGACGAGATGGCGTCCCGAGGTGCCCTGAGGCCCCTTGATGGAGGAACGGATAGGCTGATTCGAGCCCGTTGACTGGATCCAAGAAAAGCTGCGCCAAGCCGTAAGCCCCAAGGGGCTGGTGTTGTCATGCTATGTTCCTGGCACCTGACTCGTGGAAGGAGGGCAGAGGCGCTGGTTTGAATGCATTATTCCTCTCTTCTGACAAGAATACTAATTCTTACAGTGTGTGAGCGAGGTCAGAAAATAATAATTATTACTATTGGATATTACGGAGAAGTGGCGAGAATAAAGGTGTACACTGCTCTAAGGTGCGGCATTGACGAGCCAAGCAGCGGGCACTGATTGTTGAATGCTGATGGTTGCTCTTGGCCCACGAAGGCAAAACCACCAGGGTTCGCGTGAGAAAGGATTCTGGACGGCCAAAAGAAGAGGCGAGGGTTTACTGTGTAGCTGAAAGCAGGCTCCGAGTGAATCCGTCCCGGTATATTTTAGTGTCGTGATGCCGGAGAAGAGGACTCTGACGCCCTACGCTGTGGATAGTTCCCAGGAGAAACATCCTTAGGCGACGAGGCCTTGTCGTACACACGGTCTAGGGCAGTCAGCAGCTTACTGGGAACCCACAGCCACAGGGCCAGTGGGAGCAAGAACATTATTGAGTCGAGACTGTTTACTGAACAGGTGGAGTGGAGCAGTATGTCATCTCGGCTCCATTTTTGCATTTTGCCTAGACTGGTAGTAGTCTGACTATTCAAACTACCATCGTCTGCCTCTTTTTCTCGGGTGGGCAGCCAGGGGAAGAGAGGGGACAACGCTCATGATGTCTGATGTCTGCAGCGAATCTTTGGGAGGTCAAGACTCCAAAGCTGAAACCAAAAGGTGGTGGGGTCACCATAGCCGATCAGCGTGCTATTGTAGCCCTAAAGAATATAAAGAGCGGAGCAGTGCTTCTGGTAAGGCTGGCCGTGGGCAACGCTGGACAGATGCCATCATGCCAGACAACATCAATCTTCGCGGTCCATCCATATATCGCAAGATACTACACGGCAGTCCTTCTTGTGGTCAGGCGTTGCACAAATTCCACAGGTTGAAATGGACTTTCTACAGATTTACTCTCTCCATACGAGTCAGGAAGGGGGAAATTTCTCTCACCTTGAAGCGGAAGCGGATATTGTTGATAATCCCCTGCTCGCTCCTCTTCAGCCCCGGCAAGAAGGCTGAACTCCGTGCGATCTTATTATTATTTGCGGCTATGGAAGGAACTACGCTTATGTGATGCATAATCTTAGCGCTGCTAGCGTCTTCGAGATGTGCCGTCGTTGCATCAATGCGTTCCCCAACGATACCGCCTCGTTCTGCCTAACTAAGCAATTCGTTTGCGTAGTCATTCCTCCTAACAGTGCATTGAAAATGATCAGAGTATTATTGACTGGGGATTGTTACTACAGCATAATCCCTTTTTTTTATTATTGCCCACCAATCTCAATTACTCAATTCGCAGATAACCTGCTCTCGTCCGGGCCTTCCCCCTCTCGCGAATCGGCGCAGATCCCAAATCTTTGAATAAACTCCCCACTTGATTCCTGACATGTGGATGAGTTCGATTCTCCCCGAGAATTCGTTTGGAACATGCTCACCCCAGGAGAAAAGGTTTATGTAGCCCTTCCTCGAGTGGGGAAGCGCCGCCACACGGCGAACGAAGCAATTGACGGGGAAGTGTATCCCCGGAAATAACCATATGTCATGTCAAGCGTGTACAAGATCTGGCCTTAGAGTACGGATTTATCCTCTCAACGGTTTACGGAAATAAATAGTTAGTTATCCCGTTAGCTCAAGGAAACGAGAACGAAAATATCCTCTTTGTGGTTCTCTGGAACTCTAGGGCGGTTTAAAATCTGGTATAGAGCAGAAAAGAATAAACGCGGTTATAGATTTCGGACTGGTTAGCCTTGCGGAAAGGAAAAAGAAAAGAAAAGAGAAAGAAAAAGAAAAACCACCCCATCCTTCGAATTAAAGCGTTAGAAAATTCACATGCGTCCAGACTCCACATACAGGTCCATGCCAAAATTGGCTTTACCCCGGACACCAATTCTGCATGAACTGAACATACTATAAATCCCTATCGATGAGGTACATCCCGATAGAGATCCCTTTTATGGGGATAATAATATCGAGGAATTTCTCGTTCCCCATGGGGACGGACGGACTCTGGGGTAGGCAGATTGATGGTTAGTACTACGTATCCCTTGTGATAGTTGGGCGGCATATGGAGATATTCAGTTCGCAGCCATATTTTATCTCGTGATTCTCTATGGCTGGGTACGTACGCAGCAGCGTAAATCGCTCGGGCTTGGAGACGCCGAGGAAAGTTCGTGAGGGACAGCACGATCAGAGAGGGAAGTCTTCGCTATCGATCCGATTCAGGATATGGAAAACAATGATATCCATGAAAATATGTCAATGCGCAGTGTTTAACGTGAGAAATGATAGCTCACTTCCCTGCTGGATGATCTTCTTTTCCCCTCACTTCATCTGCCGGTTCTCTCCCTCGCTGGGTATCCGCGGTCAAAAAAGAAAAAAAAATACGGATAGAGGTATAAGTAGCTTGTAGTTGTTCACATGTGAAACCCATTACAAGCACCTATATGTTTGGCCTCGGAGACTAAAATAGGCTGTAAAGAAAAACTGTAGGTGCCATTGAGTTATTTAGTGTTGAACAAGGACCATTGCTGAACCCAAAGGGAAAGTAGGGTAGAGTAGGGTAGAAGCAAAACTCCAGCTTTGATAAAGACTTTCCATGAGCCGCATAAAGAATTAAAGTTACATAAATAAACAACTGAGAGTTTGGTAACTTTGTGTAAGCTTAATTACTTTAATAAATTGACGTAGAAGCCCCTGCGCTAAAAAAAAAAAAAAACAATTTGTTACCTGCATCATGATTCGTGAATAATCAATTCCACGTGTTGAACCCTCCTGATCAAACTTAAGACACTTGCTGACATCCAAGGTTTTCTTTCTCCCCTCTCCCGACTTACCCTGTGTCGCGTGTTTCAGAGCTGCATTCCTACCCTCTCTCTCGGGGTCCGATGTGGGAAAATTGTCAGGAAGAAAGATATATCTAGCATTTAAACCAGAAAAATGTGTCGGAAACTTCTATAGTTGCTTTTCCGCGAACCTCCACGCGTTACACATCAAGTCATGGCCTTCAGCGAAGCAGAAAATATGCCTCTCTCCATGGTCTGGATGATGGCCAATGGACTGCACCAATTGCGAAGACCTTGGGAAAGCTTGTTGCTGACTTTCTCTTTGATTCTCAACTAGTTATCCCTGTTAGGATAAAAATTGCGCACCGTGAGAAATGGAATTTTTTTTTTGTCTCCAAGTGATGCCGTTACAGTTCCTTCCGATGAGAGGAGTCGGCATCAAGTTCGTCCAAGCGAGGGCGACGATGGAGTAAGGGAGTAAACTTATCTCCGCCGTAACATGAGCGGAGCCTCCACAAGTGCGGTTTGATAATGCTTGATAATTATTATTATGTAACGTCTTCTTTGAGCTCACTCATATTCCGTTATTTTACACAGAGTACTGAGTAGTAAATTCGGTAATTATTTTATACATGGTTTATGCGCAGCTGGCAGGGAGGAGAACTTCTATGGGTTGAAAACTTTTACTGCGACTTTAAACCCAACCATATTTGCTGCAGAAGAAAAACCGAGAATGCGCAGCGATGACTCGAGCCTTCTTCAGCCTCCGGGCCAAGAGGGGAGGGGTGGGTTGGTTTCAGTTAGATAGCCAGAGCAACGACAAGCAGAACTCTTTGCCTTGGGTGCAGTCGCAGTAGCAATGTAGCAGGCCTAGATGCCATTCACCATTGTCTAATTTCGCCTAGAATATAGAACGATAGCTCCAATGCAAATACAACGCTGCGCAGGTAATAATGGCCAGGGACAAGGTGTCTGCAGGATACGGGAAGGAAATAAAGTTATCAGGAAGAATTTTACCAAGTTCACGCATGAATACGAAACAAATGTCTGTTAAGGTCCGGCATGAATCCTTTTCTCGGCTGAAAGAAGAAAAAAACGAAAAAGAAAAAAAAGAAAAAAAGAAAAGAGAGAAAGCTCCTAGCCTAACTAGTTACTGAGGAAAAACGAACGCCATCGCACAACAGTGGTGGGGCTTGATTGACTGGCGATGATTTGCTTCGTGATCACCAGCTAGGATAGTCTCAACCCCCGGCAATCAGGCGCGAGGCAGAATTATCATCCCATTCGCCGCAAATCTTTGCCCGGATGGCCACTACCACAGGCCCCGGCGGCGGATAGAGAGCAGCATGATTCTTGATGCCGTGCCGCGGCGAAATCAGGAGGCAATAGCATCATGTATCCCGGGCTGGTCTGCCATTTACATAGTTATAGGTAGGCATCTGATAATAGAAGGGTTTGCCTCCAAGCTCCTGACGATGATTGAATCAGCAGTTGTTTTAACGTTGCGGCACGTACAGCAGGGTTTCTCCAACTCTTCATGGCTGGGCCAAAGTTGCATCGTATCTTTAGCAGCAGAGGGAGATTTAAATTGACAAAACCTGGGCCTGCAACTTTTTCCTTCAATCAGGAGCCACATTCCTTCTTCAGCCAACTGAATTTTGTCAAGTGGCGAAGATCGCGGGCGTCTAAAAGAGGGGCATTTGCAAGCTAGTTTCCTCGCCGGCGATGTCATAGGCGGCTTGTCTGCCAAACCAGCACCCAATCAGCAACCGCCTTTCAGCACCTCCGTTGACGAAGTTCTGAATTGGCCCATCGAGCTCTCCGCTGCACTGACACAAGGCTGAGCCTGCGCGAGAAACGCGAGGAGTCTGAAAACCAGTGAAAATGGATTTCACGCGTGCTTGTTGCTGCGTGCGCTGATTTTCATCAGTAGCTTTGGCCTATGAACGGGTAATTCTCCGCTATCAACATCTACTAGTATTGTCGACGCCAATGGTTCTGCTGCCGTTGTGTGGCTGCGGGCATACATCTGGACTTGCGGGGCTCACACTAGAGCCACATATATTCATCAACAGGGGAAAGGCTCTTGACTGAACACTGGACAGAGCTTGCAGACTCATTCGTCTCACAGATATTCTGAGGAGCCACTACATCTGGTTTTCCATATCTTTGCCGCCTGCTATGCCTTTGTGGTCGTTTGCCATCGCATGTTTGCGATTGGAGGCCATAGAAAGCTAAAAAGAAGTCAACTCTTCCTCAACAGTCCTATACAGAGCGACGTCATTCGATTAAGCCAAATCGGTTTTCGTGATATTAATTAAGCCTGATTATTTGCATATCCATACATCATCTCGTATGATTCCCACCGCAGTTGTCTACTTGATCATTGCCAACCGGTGATCTCCAATTCGAGCATGCTGAAATCAAATTTCCCCGCAATATGGGATCCCCCTTTTTATCACTATTCGTCTCGTATTGCTCTGTCAGGAAGCTCTTAGACATATTTCATTTGCCAGTTCTCCAGCCTCCAGCGGCGACGACGGTGCTCCAGAAATGTCAATCCCCAGCCAGGATCTACATTTAATTATCCCTTCAGACAAAAGCTGTCACAGCAACCGGCCAGAGCTATTGATTCCATCAATTTTGGTCACCTCATAAAAAGGTCAAGAGCTTTTTCGAATAGCTCAATGGACTATCAAAACACCGTATGAGTGTCCGTGAGTAAAACGTTGGGATCTGAAGATCTAACCTTGCAACTAGGAGTGCTACAAAGCAAAGTTCATTCAATTTTGCTCAAGGAAGATCTCCCAGTTGAGATGAAGTTGGGTACGACATACGTGGACAGACAGGACATATGTAAGCAAACACCAGCGCAGAGCACTTCTGCATACACGACCAGCAGGGAGAAGAGGTCATGAGATCTCGAAGGCGATATTTTGGGGGCTTTATTTTCCAAACTTGGCTTTTGAACGATTTGGGAGGTAAAAGCAACCCCCCTAGGATGCATCAAGCGAGTGATACATGACTTTTTGGAGCTAGCACCTTTTTACAAAAACGTGGTTTACCTCCAAAGTAGCTCCCCCTTTTGGAAGAGCATACGATCAAAAGTAACCCGAAGCGAGGTAGCGCAAAGAGGAACGAGGAAGGGTTGTTGTGCAGCCTTTTCCTTCCTGGCTGACATTATACTCAATTTACATACCAAGACTCTGCGTATATACACTCTACCCCTGATCACCCTGTGGTGCACTGTACACGAGACACTGCAGCTTCTTATGCTACCCCTCACTTGCTGCTGGGCGACTTGATGATAGTGATGATTACGATAGATCCATCCCATGTGGATGACGGGAGGATGGACAAGGAGCGATGCCCAACTCTTATGGCAAGTCGACTTGCAGCATCTGTTATTCTTTTCTTGCCGGTAGTGGTGTATTTTAGTTGGTTGTACGTCAGATGCACGTACTGATACGTATAGACATGTCCATCTATGTATATGCATGTACCTACAAAGGGTAGGCGGCCAAATAGGGGTTTACTTTCAAACCCATGAACTCTTCGTAGCTTGTCTCCCTAGCTTTTTCTGGCTGCTGTAGATGTCATAAGGCATGGGCGCACCGCATGGCAGCGTGGGGTTCTCCCAAGGGGTTTGGGTATTATATTAGCCTGATGGACTGGTGGTGCGTTTCCAAGAATGGGGAATTATCAATTGTGGACGATGATGATGGTTGGGCATTGTCGAGGAGCTCCTGACTAAGATTTTTTTCAGCAGAAACCACTGATGATCACCACACTAGCGACAGAGCAAGGAACTTGCATCAATAGTCAGGCTCTTTGGCTTTGAAAAATTTACTTTCCCGTTTGGATGGAGAGCTGAGGTATAGCTAAAGAAATGTCAACGTAGCGCGCATATTTTAGGGGGTAGTCAATCTCTTGCACTATCGGCTGGGCTCCCAAAAACGATGTCAACATTGAGAAGCTCAGGAATTAGATAGGACAATGATCCTGCAAACATCACCCTATCATCGCCTTTATTGAGTATGGTTACCCAATACGCATCTCAGAGTATGTGGCCTCCCCAGACCGGCCTGTAGCCACATAGACATAATCAGGCTTCTGCCCCAAGGGGACTCATATCGCAAAAGTCATGCCGAGTTTAGTCGGCATGGTCCGTGCTACACTTCCGACAACCTTCGGCATGGTATTGACGTTCGGGAAGCTGCGGGTATCCTGTTTCGTAAATCTAACGAACCTAGGGACATTAAAATGGAAGTTAACTCGCCGTGAAACATCATGTATTTGCGAAGAGCAGTGGCTGGTAGATAAGGGTTAGGGGAGCAAGGGAATTTAGCGCACTCAACAGAAAGGAAAAGAAATGAAAAAGAAACTTGCGGACTCATAGGCAAGGATATTGAGGTAGGGGAGATGGGAAGGGCGAGAAATAAGAGAATACGAAAGAAGGAAGAGAATTTGTTGTGCCTTAAGGTTGCACGCTCAAGAGAGTTAAGTGTAACTAAACAGCGAATCCTAAAGAGCTGGGAAAGTTATCTTGATTGGTAGCTATGCTATCCAATGCGTGGAAACATGAAGAAACCGACAGGAAAATGACAAGTTAACAGAGGGAGTTCATGCAAAGTAGCTGCAACCAATCTGGCCTCCTATTAACCGCAGATGACCCATTTTATTTGCAGTTCATCACGAGATTGAATCCAAGGGAGTCTGTGCTATGTATGCCTGCGTCGTGCCACGCTGGTACGGGCGCCGTGAGAGGTGGCTATGCATTTGAGTTCTACCACGAACAATGCCATTGTATGGAACAGGGTAAAAAAGCTCACGTCATCTGCAATATGGGACAAGTTTGTCATAGGATTCAGAAGAAGGGTAGATATGGAGGTAGCTAATAGTATTTCAGAACGATATTAAATGCCGGAGAAATAATCCTGGGAAAAAGTCTGCGCGGAACTTATTTACATGTATTTGGAAAGAAGTAAGGAGGTAGCACAGAAAAAGCTAGCCTGTATATGAACAGAGCCTCCCATCCAAATTGGAACATGTTTCACACGTTCAAACATTACATACAAGCTCTTTCCACGTATCCGTAGGTCTTTGTAAAACAGTAAAAAGGAGCAAACCAACCCTCTTAGATGAGGAAGTTCATCGAAGATGTAGAGACATCAGTGGTTGAGTAAATATATCAATTAGGATGATAGGGATGATAGACAGCATTGGACTCTCATCAGAGTGCATGTCTTGGGTCTTGGTGGGTTATGAAGTCCACAGCCCGCTTCCCAAATGGGGTCAAGGCACCTAGATAAATCTGAATCGCATTTCAATGTTAGCTTCTTGTCTAAATCAAGCACACACGTACGATGTGCTGGTAGCTGCTTAAAGAGAATCGACAATGCAAAAGTGGGATGCATATCAGAAGTCCAGTTAGATCATCGGGGTGAGACCAGAGGTCCCACCCCTGACATAAGAGGTACCAGAAAATAATTGTATTGGTGTATATCATCATTGGCAAGAAGGAATGGAATCGGCAGCTGGGTAAGATGAGGCACGTACCAATTCAAGCATTCAACCGTTCAAGCAAAAGTGTTAGCTGTTCGAGCTTCTGCTTTTTAAAGAGTGATGTTAGTGCATCAACAAATTAGCACTCAGCCAGAGCTGATGGTATTCTTCAATTGAAAAATAATAGCTTTGTTTTTGAAGTTTCTGAGTTGTGCGGAAAGAGAAAAAGAAGTCGTGATAAAAAAACTAAATTTAACCTGGTTGAAGCTGCTTATTAATAATACACTAGACTGCTTTTGTAAATTACATCACGTGAGATGAATACCAAGAACCAATGATTCGTAGCCAAGATATCGCCCGCCGACTAATCACATTGCAAGAACGGAACGGCGAGCACGTTGTTGCTTGCTGTAATGGCGTGGTTGTCGGCAGAGAGCGGCGGGGAGCCTTCAAGAAGAATAATAGGGACGATCAAATCCTCCAGACCTCGCCTTGGAAATCCCTACTTATGCTGCTAATTTGGCTCAAGCGACAATCGCCATTGGCGATGCCGAATCGGATTTTTCATATCTGCCTAGAAATCCTCTGTTTGAAAATATAAGAAGAGCTACACCCCGTGCTTCGGACAGAGCAGGCTACAGTTTATTCCATTGTCTCGTAACCGATCCTGATCGCAGCAATGCCGTTGGACGCTCTTTTCAGAGGCTGGCGCTTGCATCCGCATAGCACTCGCGCCCCTTACGAGGCAAATAATGAGAAACTCATGGATCGCTTTCTGGATGTGATTCACCGCAATTGGCACCTGGGGTTTACCTCATTTGGTGGACCCCCAGTGCATTTCAGAATTTTCTACCAGAAATTTGTTGAAGGCCGAGGAGAGAAAACGCCCTGGATCGACGAGCAAACGGTAAGGAGGATAATATATTCCGAAGCTTTTTTTATTAACAAAACTCCATGAAACTGACAATTTTTAACAATCCTTTTAGTATCAAGAACTATTTGCTGTATGTCAGGCGTTACCAGGCCCTGGCAGCACAAAGATGTTATTCTGCATCTCTTTAATCCATGCTGGCTTTCTACCAGCTCTTCTTGTCTTCTTGATTTGGAGGTTGGTATTAGGATCCCTCTGGAATGATATGTATTTGCTGCTTTTATATGAGGATTGAACTGATATCGTTAACATGGTTAGCCTCCCTGGTGCAATCGGAATGTATGGGCTTTCCCTTGGAGTCCAACAGATAGATGAGGTGCTTCCTGATATTGTATATGCTTTTCTCTCTGGCCTAAATGCGTCCACTGTTGGGATAATCACCCTCGCGGCTGTACAGGTATACATATATACTGCCTCCCATTGCCTTGTAACTACTGGACATAGCTAATTTAATGATTGCAGCTGGCGGAGAAAGCAATCAAAGATCCGTTAACAAGGATTCTCGTTATCATGGGCGGGTGTGCTGGCCTTTGTTACAATGCACTTTGGTATTTTCCAGTGCTTATTATAATCGGAGGAATATCCACTGTTGCATGGGACCTCGTTGGCCGCCAGAATATCGCCAAAATGAGAAGAAAACTTCGTCGAAACTCAGACCCTCAGCGAGAGGTCGAAGAAAGCAGTGGACAGTCAACCACTTTACGTGAGCTGCCACGTCCTACAGGTGGGGTGCAGAAACGATCTGGTATTGCAAGTAATACCAATTCATCCAATACACCTGTTGGTTTTTACGCTGTAGGTGAGCAGGAAACAAACCGAATTGCGAGTATAGATACACGTTCGCACAAGATTCCTACCAAATGGGGAATTTTAATTATTGTTGGCTTTTTTGGTCAGTGCCTAGCATCACGCTACAATATTAGCACGTCTCACTCACAAAATTATCAGCTACCTTTGTCGCTATCCTTGTTGCACGTGGAGTTGTCAATAAACCCCCACTGGAATTGGATCTATTTGCAAGCATGTACCTTGCGGGAACTATTATCTTTGGAGGTGGCCCCGTTGTCATCCCCCTACTCCGCGAATACGTCGTTGAGCCTGGCTGGGTGTCTCCTCGAGATTTCTTGATCGGCCTCGCCATTATTCAAGCCTTCCCAGGACCAAATTTTAACTTTGCTGTTTACCTGGGTGCTTTAGCCTTGGTGCCTTCCACGAATCCCACTATTCTAGGCGCATTTTTAGGGTTCCTAGGCATCTTCTTTCCTGGTACCACACTGGCAGTGGGCTTCCAGAGCATTTGGAGAAGCATTCGAAGCAGCCCTTTCATTACAAGTCTGTTGCGAGGTATCAATGCTACAGCGGTCGGGTTAGTCTTCACAGCTGTATATCGGCTCTGGGAAATTGGGTATCTGAGCGCCGACTCCATATCGGGACAAAGTTTGGGAAAGGAGCCATTCTGGTTGGTCGTAGCCGCTCTATCCTACGCTGGAAATGCTTGGTTCAAGGTTCCTCCTGCCGTTGCTATTTTTGTAGGTGGTATTTTGGGCTTGTGTTGGTATGGTGCTGTGGGACGATAATAAGATGAACGGCTCCTAGAAGATTTTGACAGAAGTTACGGTGTTTCTGTGTGGGCTACCCAAGTGATGGCGATTTTCATCATTTTTGTAATCTCCCATACACTGTGATTTACAGCATATACACATTTTCCCCTTCCCAGATGTGATTTGCATGTAAGGTCATCTGATGTATGATGTGAATTCAGCAATTTGGCCCAGAAAATCTTGTGCAATCATGATACTCTCTCTCATCTTTGGTTCCAATTTGGGTTGGACGACCTTGGGAATAAACTAATGAAAAGACAGCTTTAGTTTATTTCTTTTTTCACACAAATTATAATTATTTATTTTTATTGCCAAATAAGTCTCCATACCTATGAACAAATAGTTCTGTGAAGATTGTTCTCAATGGATCAGGTTACTCTGCCCCTTTTTCATGGGCTGGTCGCACTTTACAGTAAAGGCAGCAGGAATTGTGACAAGTCAAAGAGTCAAATACCGGTTTATCTAGCTCAAAAAGGAATGAGCTTGGATGAACCTCCAAGTCCCTATATAGCTAAATTGCACCATCATCACAATATCCTTTTCTATCTACCTCCTATAGTCAAGAGGGAATCTGGATTTTCCCAAAATACTCTATGGCACTAGTCCCGGAGAAGCGCTGGAGGCGGGCTGCTTTAACCCAGCTATCACCAGGAGAGTGTCAAGTCGGTTAGTTAAAGCTGCCCCAAGGCGGTTCGGTAAAATTGAACTGTTTCAAAGGGTGTGGAAACCATCGGCTTGTCGGCCTTTCAATTCTTCCTTTGTTGGGTGATACTGTGCTCCACGTGACCATAAGTCATAAGTAAATGCTAGAATCTTCACGAGCCATGAAGGTAAACAAGCACCAAACAGTTGGACGTAGCCAAGGGTGTGGCACATTACCACTTCCTCACCGGACCCGAAACACCCTTGGGATTGTTGTCTCCTGGCTATGTCCAACGATTGATCTCTGAGCTCCTGGAGGATCTTGCGGGCGAAGATCCTAGTTGAGACTCAAGCATAACTAGCTGAATAAGGAAATCGATGACTTGGAGACTGCGAGGAAGGTCCTGCTGTAGGTGGGACGAGAGGAAAGGGCTGGAAGGAAGATATTTCTGGTGGGCTAGCGTGCTAAGATTTCTCTGATTTTTATTCGTAGTTCGTTGCATTTTGATGTATGGTTTAGAAGTTGCCAAAGATAGAATGTTCAAGACTTTGCACTTTGAGGTATTTAATTATAAAGGAAGATTACTTGCTCGCGTGACAACACGGAATAAGAATATCAAGGGTTTTGTCACCTCTTGACTCAAGTCGAGCCAGAAATAGGCAGCAAAGATCAATGAGTGGAATGCTTCGAGTGAGTTGGACCCAAGGTAGCAGATGTGATAATGGAAAACTTGATAGCCTTCACGGCATGGAAATACGGCCGTCTTCTTCTTTACTTGCATTCGACGAGGTTTTCTTCAATGTCTAACTTGCGGTTGGCCAATGGACGAGATAATTTGGAATTCGGAAGCCTCCGAATGGCGAATGTCATATGAATAGTTCCTTTGAGGACGCATTTGGCCCTTGGTATAAGGAACCCTGCCCTACTGCTGCACCTAATCAGCTAATCTTATCAGTCATACCTATTATTTCGGGGTTGGTAGGTCCGTAATTTTGCCACCTTAGAGATGGCTATAGACGCTTCCAGGTATCAAAATTCTTCATCAGGATGTGCCTTTAGAGCCGTGAACTTATTCCCAAAGTTCTTTCACACTTCATTTACGCAGGGGCTTTGGCTTCCTAAGGACTACAAAACGCGATATCTGGAGCCTATTTCATCCTGCATTGCTTAAAGCAGTCATTGCTTCAAATATTGCTGGGGGCTTTGGAGCTACTGGGATTCACGCCTACAATCTCCAACATGTTTTGAAGAGACTTCAAAAACAGCCTTTTACACCACCCGAACAGGCTGCTATTGTGATGGAACGGTCTAATAAGAGATGAACTGCATATTATATTGTCCCTAGTACGAGAATACAAAGCTGGAGAAAGGAAAGAAAGAAGTAAACAAACCAGCTACCTAACACATCTATATCATCCTGTCAGGCGAATCCCGTTGCCCTACTACTTAGCCCTAACGACCCGATTGGGACAGGGTCCGAATCCGCGCCGTCACAGCTATAGCATCTTATACACCGATCTCAATTAGGGAATTGAGCAGGTAGTATAAAAGGGCTAGACGCCAGCAGATTAGTGTTCTTGAAGGGTTGGATAGGCTTCAATATGAGAACAAGAAAGCTTCAACAACGCGAAAATCGTATGTTACGCGAAGGTCTACAGATTAAAGGGGTGCGAAGCAGGCGGAGCAAGCCCTGGATGATCCAATTTTGGCAAACAGTCAGGGGTGCCAGACTCCACTGTTCGACTTTCTCCTGAAAATCCAGTCAAGACCCGTAGAGATCACTCTCGCGCTGCGTCGCTGCCAATCACGCGGCCAGTAAAAGTAGGACGTTAGAAAGGAAGGAATAATCCTTGCAAGCCGCTGTAGAGGATGTCACAATACCGTTTTATCAGGCAAACCGGATCGCCTTGTTCCGTTTGGCCGTGGGGTCGTTGCAAATCCAAAGCCACAGCCATGGTTTCAGGACGTATCGGGGAATGGGACAGGGAGACCCAGATGATGCATCTTTTTCCTACCCAGCTTGCCTTTAGGAGGAGGCGCCAACAGCCCATCCCAGCCGAGGCTTAGCGATACCTCGGCCGGTTGGCCAACTCAGAAACTGAAGTGCGTCTATTAGGCCACCCACCCTAAGATGAATACACCACACCAGCTGACGAGACGCCAGCGAAATGATTGAGGCGAGGGTGGTGTGCCAGGCAAACCATCGACTGTCTAGACTAGAACCAAGAATGGAGAGCGTCCACGCCGTGGATGCAGGCTAAGAAAACATGCTGAAACAAGCCCGAATCCAGTGATCCGGCTATGCCGCCGTCCGCGTAATTTGTGGCCCGCTCCTCTGCAAGGGGCTGGCAGAATGGGAAAGGGGAAAGGTAGAGAAAGGCCCTGGGCGTCGCAATCATCGTCTCTCTCACAGAGCTAGTCCCTTGAACGAGTGTGGGCTGGCGAGGTTGAGTGCGGAGCCATAGCGTCCAGCATGACAGGACGGGCGCGGGTAAGCAGTCCAAGGTGAACGCGCGAGCATGAGTGAAAGGAAAGCAGATGGAGGCCGTCGAGCAACGCACCAACGAACTTTGATAGATGGAGGCTGCGTGTCGAGCGGCTGGCGGCGGAACTTTCCATGCCAGGTCTAGCGCAGAGCACCACACCCGATCGGGCGGCGCTAAACCGCAACAGGAAGGTCACCCCAAACGGCGGCGCGCTGGCAAATGCGAAGCGTGTGTTCACGAGTTAACGTTAGTTAATAATGAAAAGCCAAGGCGAGAATCTTCCCACGTTGGGCGCGTGCAAGCCTCAATATTTCTCTTGACGCGAAACCCAGCCGACGGGAGTGGATGGGATTTCGACCCTTCCCAATGGATTACCCAGAGACACAATATGGACACCCAATGGATTCTGGCATTGAATGGCTTGAAGAACAGGGCAATCCCTGAGCTTCCTCTGCCCAGAGCATGCCTAGAGTAGGCTCAACTCCCCATGAAGATTTAAAACCATTCCGCTTCAGGTACCTAACCCAAACCAAGCCTCGGAAACTTTTCTTGCTTTGATTTATTCTCTTGCCGTTGAGACTTCTGCAAGAAGTAACTTGGTCTATGCGAGGCGGTCTCCCAAACCATTTGTTTACAGAATGGTGTATCTGGTTTTATACCTTTTCGCGCATCCAGGCCTAGGACCTGTTTCAAGCATTCCCTTAGCATCTTCAGACAAAAGATCAAAGCTTCTCCGTTACCTGATCTTCGAGACTTCATTAAAGCAAAATGCAAAATGCGGACTCCTCGCCTCACTCCTATCAAAGTCAAGCACCATGTAGCTTTCGCTTTGATGGTGTCTAGTCAAAGATAGAATCAGGCATGCTTGAGTGTTCATTCAATCATCACTATAAACTCCCAGGCTCTTTTCCCCACTTCACACCTCTGAGGAGAAGCTATATAGAGCAGTGCACCCTGCGTGACAGCTTTTTTCCTTTAATTTTTGAATTCCCTCTTCCATGCCCTTCAGTATGGATAGCAAGACATAGAGTAGAGCAGTTCTTGTAGAACTGCTCCATTCCTCCATACCTCTCATCCCCTTGTTATTCCTTTTTGTCTCTGCTTGCCTTCAAAAATATCCGCCAAGCGCAACGCGACTCCTGAAGCATTGGCACAGTGTTGGCGAGTTGCAATCAGCTGTTTGATAGCAACTATGATATTGAGCTATGTACAAGACTCACTATCTTCTAGCTCATAGTCATATCACTCACAAGTCTCAGGCGGTGGACGCGCTAGTTCTTGTCGCCTTTGTCAAATCAGGATCTAATGCTCCCGCGAGGGGGGCCAGATTTGTATGTGGCTGCTTCTTGTTCACAATGTTTTCATGTCTGCTCACTTTGGTTTCCGCAGCTTTACCTATGGACATCGAGCTTTACGTGGCTGGTGATTCTACTCTCGTGTATTGATTCAAAGGCGCCGATTAGCTACCCCTTCTACGGCACCTGGATAGTATATCTGACAACTGAATTTGTTTTATTGTGGTGTCTGTTCTGCAACACATTCAACCCTCGACTAGCAATATTGCTTTTGAGGGTCTCAGACTTGCGCTGCTTACAATGTTTGTGGCATTGGCTGTTTTTGCCTCATGCATCATGACAACCGGGATATCCAACCCAGAGAGGGTGCCTCTCTTACAAGAAAGTCTAAGCTCCAGCGAATGTGGCGCTGCATGTAGCATTTTGGACTACTGGAACTTTTTTAAGGTATGTGTTTATTCCCTGCTAGAATGGCCGTCGCTAAGTACTCTGAATAAGGTGATGTTTTACTTCTTTTGGCCATCAGGAAAAAGAGGCTATCAACTACTCTACCTAGGCATTGAGGGATGCCTAGTTGCTGAGCAGGTGGTGAACATAGCCATCCCTCTTCAGCTTGGATTGATAATAGATGCGCTGGCAGACTTCAACAGTGAGCCATTGTTGGCCAACCTAATTCTAATTCTAGTATGCTGCTAATTGTCTAAAGGAACCATCCCCGGGAAAAAGATAATGGTATTTATGCTACTGCAATGGCTCGGCTCAAGTGGCGGATTAGTAGTGCTCAGGGAGCATGTGCAGACGGTCCTTGACAATCATTCATACCATCAAATAACCACCACAGCATTCAACCATATCATGTCCTTGTCGAGTGACTTTCATGACAAAACGAACTCAACAGCTCTGGCACAAACTGTTATTCGTGGCCGAGGAGCCCGAGGTGGTGTGGCCAAGCGTATATGTTTTTGGGTGGTCCCGATGATTGTGGATCTAGCTTTGGCCGCCGGCACTTTATATTACATCTTTGGCGCTTATATGTCGTTGATAGTTGCAGCCGTGGCCGTGGTGTTAGTGTGGACATCTAGCAAGCTGATTCACCACCAGCAAGACAGATGGAAGCAGTGGGCGGAAAAACAGACAAATGAGGCAACCATCTTCCAAGAGTCTCTTAGTCATTGGAGGATAGCGGCATACTTTAGTTGTGTCCCTCATGAACAAAATCAAGTCTGGTCTGCTGTTCAAGACCAGCTGAAGTTGAGAGCTACATCAATGCTCTGAAGAGGCATGGTGACTGCTGCTCAATCAACAACTCTCCAGTTGGAGCTGGCGGCGGCCTTGATTATCACAGCATACAAGGTTGCCTCTGGCACAAAGTGTGTTGGAAGCTTTGTGATGCTGCTCAGTTACTGGGCACAACTCTCAGGCCCTCTACAGATGCTTGTTCATGGATTTAGAGATTTTGCCAAAGAGATGGTTGAGGCTGAAGAGTTGATGAAGGTTTTGCACCAGGACCCAGCCATTACTGACAGTCCCAGCGCTCAACCTCTGGTTTGCAAAGAAGAAGATTTTATAGATTTTAAGAAGGTTAGATTCTCTTATGATGGGGAGAGAATAGTCTTGAAAGATATCAACTTTCATGTGCCCGCTGGCAAAAAGACCGCCATTGTTGGAAAGTCTGGGGGATGAAAATCAACAATTCTAAGCCTGCTCCACCGGCTGCGAGATCCTACCGCTGGTGTTATCAGCATTGATGGACAGGTTTTATCCAATGTCACGCTTGATAGCCTGAGGGCAATGCTTGGTATTGTTTCTCAAGATACTACCCTGTTCCAGGGCACGATTGAGGAAAATGTTCGCTTTGCAAAGCTGGATGCCACCCATGAGGAAGTCAAGGATGCATGTAAAGCTGCCGCTATTCATGATAAAATCATCAGTCTCCCAAATGGTTATGGTACCATGGTTGGAGATGGTGGCGAACTGCAGTGTGTCGCGATAGCACGAGTGATTCTCAAAAACCCAAAGATTATACTCCTGGACGAAGCCACCAGCAGTCTAGACAGCGAGACCGAAGCATGTGTGCAACAAGGATTGAAGCAGCTCTGTGCTGGTCGGATCATGATTGTTATTGCGTAAGTCTCTTCAAACCGCAAGCCACTATCTCTTAGTAACAGTTCCTTCCATAGGCATCGCCTATCTAATGTGATGGATGCGGATCAGATTCTTGTAGTGAAGGATGGGAGTGTTGTGGAGAGGGGAACACATCCATATCTTCTGAACCGCAAGGGATATTATTATAGTCTGTGCGAACTGCAAGGCCTTGTTATGATTGACAAAGATGAAGAACGAAGAATCATTGGCTAGTGCGCCGGAACAATGAGATAATCCGATGTCCAAGTTGGTTGAGAATCCAAGCCCTGAGTGTCACGTGCGTCCATGAATGTCTTGTTGGGGGTCCCGGGAGTTGATCGGCCCTTCTACCAGCAGTGCGCTGGTGGTGACTGAGCTCTTTTGCCCCAGTAGCCTACATGTCTCGACTTCCTCCCCTCCTCCTCCCGAACCAAGACCTCAAAGTGAGTCAGCTCCGTGTTGGGTTTTACATTGAAAATTGAGAAAGGGCTGCGACCGCAGTCCTGACTGAGCAGCCAAAAGGATCCTGCCTGCCTTTTCGCGTCAGCCAGCAAATTCGGGGGTTTATGGGCGATAAACGCCTTGCACGTGTCACATATCTTCCCCGCTGCAAGTGCTGATTGTCATTCAAAGCCTGACTCACTGAACTGCGCAAAAAGAAAATATGAGGCTTTCTTTGGCTCGTTCCGGAGTCATTTGGCTAATAAAAAGGCTTGCTTCCACATGAAAATGCCAAATCAAGGCAACCATCTGCCTGCAAGGACATGCATCAGGCAATGTGCTGGCAAGAAAGGCAGATCAAGGATCTCGGCCTCATTCATCTCTTTGCTTTAGACCGGGAGGGACGGTGCTGAGAGGGTTTATAAACCTCGCATCGTTTCTGCCTCCATCCTTTGAATTTTAGAATTATACAGAGTGCAGGCAACTGAAATCATTCTCGTCGACTCTTCTCTCTTGCCCTACCACAAAAGCCAAGAATCCATATATACGAAATGGCCCCCCCCAATGAACAGAGTCTTTTCCAAGACATCCAAGCCGAGCTACAGGCCAAAAGACAGCGATTCACGCAGCTGGAACAAGAAGAGACTCAGGTGCTAGCCTACATGAATGATCTTGAGGCTCAGGCACACGCAATGCAACTGCTGAACACGAGTGCCAGGGAGGCTCAAAATGCCCGTTTCATGCAGAATACCGGCATGACGGTGGGGCAACAGATTCACAACCAGAGGGCGAAACTCAATGGAATCAGAGCCAATTTGGCCGCTGTGCGAGACGCAATTGAATTACTCAGTCATTCATAGTGTATAACTCAATTCCCCCGATCCCTACTGATGATATACACTAGATATATCGCGCCAATGGTGATAAGTGGCCACCGCGAGCGTGGCCTTTCGAGCTCAGCTTTCAGCTCCTGTTTTTTTCGGACTTCTCTTTCAACTCTTGCCAAGAGATCCACTTCATTCCCATCCCTAAAGATCTTGTCTGCTTTTTCGCTGAAATCCTTCAACTTCCTCACCAGCCCGGCTTCTTGCTCTTGTGTGAAAATTGGATAGGAAAAGGTCACACGTTGTTCTACTCCCAACTTTTGTCTCTCCTTTTCAAAGTGTGCCAATTCGACTACCTTTTGCTTCATAATTTCAAGTTCAGATTGCCAAATTCTCAATTTAAAGAATGCTTCCACTCGCTGGTTACGGTCCCAATCGTAGTAACAAGAATCTAGAGCATGGCAGTAGACGCTTCCGAAGGAGTGGGGTTTCAAAAGTCCGTGAGCAATAGCTTGGTCCTCATACGCCTGCTGGCGCCAAACACTCGCCATGGGAATCTCTGATCGCAGTTTTCTGTGAGGGTTGTAAGAAGTGTACACAAGCTCACACATGGAGTCAATGAAGTCTAGAGCTGCCACTGTATATGGGAAAGAGAATAAGGGCTCGGCAATTTGCGCCACTTGGAGGTTTGTGAGCCAGTAAGGGGGAACCGCAAACAACTGAACTGGGAGAGTGTGACTCCACTCCCAGTCCAGAATTGATGTGATGTTGAAGTTGTCATCGATAACAATATTGGACGGGCGGAGATCACCATGCATCAAAATGAAAGGGCCATGATTGTACTCTTGTTTAACCCACTCCATCACAATACCCTGACCTGCCCAAATACTGTATCGATAATGTCGCGCATCTTCTTCCCCCACTATGGAATCCGGGCACCGGCAGTAGTCATTGTAGATGAGTCTGAAAATCAGGTATATGTAATCAATTGCCGAGGTGAAAGTCTGCTGAGGAGGGAGAAAATGTGAACAAAAATCAAAACCACTGACTTCCTGATCATTGACATCAACTGTTAGAGGGCGGTTGTTGGCAAATATCCAGTCCTCATCATGCTCATCAAGGGTGAGAGCTCCGATTTGGTCGAATTGTTGGTGATAAAGTTGGATATAAATATCAGCAAGTTGGGTGTAAAAATGTTCTCTTGTCCTTTTCTCAAGATCTTGAAGTACAACACCAGCCAATGTCTTCCCCTCAATATACTCCATAAGCATAAATGGAAGGCCAAGGATGTTGTCATCGCTGTTTATGGAGTAACCGTGTAGATGAGGAATGGGAATGGTGGTCTTCTCTGCAATATACCTATTTGCTGTTAGATTTGCTTGTAGTTATACTATGAATTCAGGACTCCTGGGAAAAGACTGCCTACTTCATGGTTGCAATTTCACTGCGCATCTTCTCTTTCGGAAATGCCAGTCGAGGAAGGAGAGGAATCCTGACCATCCATTTCTCACCTTCCATGCTCTCGGGATCCTGGTTAAAGATCACAGGAAAACAGACATTAAAGCCACCCTTCTTCCAGTCTGAGAAGATCCGACAGGCACTTTTGGCAGGATGAAAGGAAGTGGCCAGGTCACAGACTCTTGTAGGATCAATTGAAGCTATAAGCTCCTCAGCGGCTCGATCAACTCTGTGCTTTGTTATTTGATCCATGATCGCAACGCCGGGGAAAATCAGGTTCGTCCGGGAGTTGGCTAACAGGGATGTAGCGAGGAAGCCCTGGTAACGCCGGTTCAAGATGGAGAGGCGTGTTTTCCAGGTCAAGCACCCAGTGATGGGCTTCGGGCTAATATAGGAATCGCTAGGGAAACTAGGAAACGCTATACACACACATATAGGGCACGTGACGCTCAGAGCTCGGAGTATACCTTAACCACCCCTCATGCTCCTCTGCACAGGAAAAGCTCCTCTGCATGGCTGAGGAGAGTATTAGATTGAGAAAAGGCAATCAAGCGGCTCGAGCCCTTTGGGCCACTTGCTACGAAGGACTGCCTCAATGGCGGCCGAACAAGCCGATGCGTCGCGAATCGACGCCTAGCTACACGCGTTCCTAGCTGCGGGAACGACGACGAGAAACTCGACCAACAAGACCCATGATAGAGCCGACGATGGAACACGGAAATCCAAGAGAGCCAGTAAACCCCCAGTGGGCTTTGACGCGTTTGTATATGAACAACCGGGAGCGCCGAAGAAGCAACAGTCAAGGTCAACCGCAAGGCCTGCAACAATCCACACCTGATATTCGAGACGGCAAAAGCAAGCGGGACATCTGAGCTCCAGGATCTAGTGAGAATACTACTTGATAAGCTTGAGGCAAATCAGGCTTCAACCGCCAAGCTACACGAGACGAATGTAGCGCTCCACGAGATAAATACGGCACTACACGAGACAATCAGCGGATTGAAGAATATAATGATAGGGATGGAAGGCAAGATTTACAAATCTTGGGAACAAAGTAGCGGAACTTGAGAGCAAACTCGCCTTCCCCCCTCCATCATGGACATCTGTGGTGGCAGGCACGGCGCAAATCCCACCAGCCACCTCCCCAGCTACACCAGCAAGCTCCCAGCGGAAATCCTTAGCATCTATCCCATCAGCAGGTTCCAACTTGATGCCTCTCGCCTTTCCTCGCCGTCCATAGTGATCGACATGTCAGAAGTGGATGGAATTGGACAAGATACGACAGCCCAAAAAGCCACCAAGAGCTGAATCCAAACAGCACTCAAGAGCTTCAAGGAGACCGAACAGATCAGGGTGAAAGGACTGGCAACCACCAGTAACCCCTCCCGGTATCGAATTCTACTCTACTCTGGAGAGGACGAGCAGAAAGTACGTGTCAACCGATGTTAGCTGGAGTTCCACCTGAGGGGAGCCAAGTTCGGCCTGCCTCAGGAATTCCCCATTAGGGTCGACAATGTGAGAAAGGAGGCAGTGATTGATGTCCATGATAAAGCTGGATGGATCTCAAAAGACAAGTGTGAAATGCTCAGTGAAGAGAATCTTTATAATGAAAAACCAACCACAGTGACCAGGGCAAGATGGCTGAGTCGGCCCAATGTCGGAAAGAAATATGGATCCATGGTAGTCTATCTTTCCAGCAAAGAGGCAAGGGACTAGTTGGTCCAACATCATCAAATCTTTGATGTAGATGGGGAATCACGCTTTGTGGTAGAGTATGAGAACCGACCTCGGATCACTAGGCGCTTTCAGTGCCATAGTCTTGATGGGCATATCGCAGCTCAGTGCCCTCCCCCGCAGCGTGTATTCTATGTGCAGAGACGTCCCACGAGGAGAAGGACTGCCAGGCAACCACACCCCGGTGCGCGACCTGCAAGAAAGAGGGCCACACGCCTCGTGACGGACAGCAGTGCCCGGCCTACTGTGGGCTACTCAACAAACATGTCCATGCATAAGTTACAGATAATCCAAGCGAACCTTAAAAAGATGGAAGAAGCACAGCACAGCCTGCTAATGACGAGGATCTTGCGGAGGCAAGTCTACTACTTATCCAAGAACCACACTGCCACTCAAATTTCGAACACCTATTCATCATAGGACAATACTCGCGCTAGTGGGAAGTCCTATGACCCTCAGTAAGGGCAGACTCAACCTACCCCTACCGGTCAGCAATCTGGGCCAAGAAAATCCTACTATTTCAGCAGGTGGAGGTGAAATCATCAGACATAGTGGGAGTTCAGGTCACACTTCCAGAGGTTACCATGGTAATCTTCTCAGTGTACATTCCCAATGACCACAGCCAGGGACAACTACCGAGGAAGTGGCTACGGGAGCGATTAGAACATATGGAGAATGCCATCGAGGCCTACAGAGCCCGGTGCCAAAGCCCATCTTTGGAGGTCATCGTGAAGCACTCTCTGCCTAACTGCTCCCAATGGACCGAACAGAGACAAAATCTACAGGAGAGAATTGGGCTGGGAGTGAACAATCTTCCTCGCCTGCTAGGAAATAAGCCTGAAGGATCGCCGGACGATTGGAAGCCAGATATGGTGATGATTAAAGCAGCTATCCAATTTGCAAGAGAGACTGGAAGGCTAGATGAAAGCCGAGAATAGGAGGAGCGAAAGGTTGATACTAACAAACCAAGTCAGCTAGAGAGCCACGGTAGACGATGAAGAAACCTGGCACTCGAGAACAGTACTCCCGAGAAGCACAGCTGGCCGCTATAAACAACCCCTATCAACTTACCCCCTCCCTACCGCCCCCTCAAAACAAGAATAGGCAACTTGCAGAGACAGTGTGGTGAAGAGTATAGATGAAAGGGGCCCTTTTCCCCCCTATATATATATGTGCCCCGGGAGTTAAGTGGTTGGTTGATAAATGTAGTATAGACTGAACATTTAGGGTTCGAAAAAGGGAAAGTCAAAAGCCCCAAAAGGGATGTAATATTGATCAAGAACTACCAAGGAAACGAAAGTACAATATCAAGTTATATTCAGAAACATAAATACATGTGCGCGTACTGGAAACAAATCGCCAAATCTTCGACAAGTCCAAGCCAAGTATACCTCTAGCAAATTACAGACATAGCACCAGGCTCTTCCCACAACCAACTAAAAAGCAAAAGGTTTATCTCACTCCAACTTCAGTGACAGTGTCATAGCTTGGCCGACATACGGCCGAGTATAATAGGTGCCAGAGTGGCACATGCTGCCATAAGTGCTGAACAGCATAGAGCTCCCAAACATTGGTTGCTGACCTCACCCTTCTCAAGTTTGAGCGGAACACGATGCGCTGCTGATAAGAGAGAGTGCAAAATGACAGTAGGGACAAGGAAGGATATGACTAGAATGCAAGCAGATAGCAACCGTAATAGCATAAGTACTGGCAATGTAACTCCCCTAATCTGGTATGTGCCATGTACCTCCATAAGTGAACAAGATAAAAGGATTGCTAAGATCGGGATTGCGATCAACCCAAGGATCACAAACCCTCGAATGTTGCCAGGGGTGATTCTTGATAGAAGTTTTTCCAATGCTCTAGCCTTCTTGTCGATGATACTTTCGGGTCGGAGTTTTGGGAATTTTGCCGGCAGGGCTTCGCAATCCTTGCGATCACTGTATTCTATATAGTATTTCTCAACCCCTAGCGAGAAACTTTTTGGAATGGCCGCACCAATCGTTCTCTTTGCTGCACCGCACCCTTGACTTTATCGGCAATACCGGGTAATTTCGGTTTTTTTGATTCCCCTAATTTCGACGGTTACAGGTGGAATGTCTTTAGCGCCAAAAGAGGTAACATCCCTGATATTAAGGCCATGGGCGGCGAACTAGAGCATGAAGGGTTAGTCTTTGGTCAACCAGAGGATAGAGAGATACTTACATTGCAAGTAAGGATGCCCGCCTCCTGATTGGCTTGCTTACACAGTATGAGGAGGCCCTCCGTACACACTTTGCCAATAAATTCTCCACCATGACTTTCGAATGATTTGAAGTTTGCAATGAAACTGGGCTCAAAACATTGTTGCCTTGAGTTGTAAAATGGCCTAGTTATGTAGACTAATTGGTATGCATTAAGCAGGCTAATTAATTAATGTAAATGATACTTATTCATATTCGGTTTCAATCAGAGCTATCGCATCATCATATGCCTTAATAATAGGATCATATAGCCTTTTTGGGTCTTGCGGTGTTCCAACAATAAGTCCTTCCTTCCCATGAGGAAACATCACACCTCGTATGGTCCTGCAGAGAGGTTTGACGCACTCGAATCCCAGTGGAAACTCCTGCAGAAGGTATTCAAATCCGCCAGCTTCCATGTTGCCTCGTTTATAAGTTGCAATATCCCTGAAGGTGCTACTATACCACTTTTTCAACATGCTGTCTTTCGGCCGGTCCTGTCTCTGCCTCTGTAGCTCATCTAGTTTTTCCCAACCGTGACGGGCACATTGCCAGATAAGGACGTAGAAGAACGATTCGAGATCATGCCGATAGGTGTGGTCGATATTAAGCAGCACCTCGATCGCCATGAACTCCATTGTGCCGGTCTGGTGGCGTGCGCCACTGCGCCCGCTCCCAATTTCCTTGGCAAGATCCAGATCGATTAGCATGCCTGAGTGACCATCCACCTTGTCTGGATCAGTTATTATTATATTGTTCTCTGAAATATCCCTATGAAGGATGTTCCCATCTAGATAAAGAGACCTGTGCGCCTTTATTGCATCACGAAGCGCCATGAGCAGCTCCAAGGGTGATTTGTACTTGTAGATCAGCCGGCCTGCGGGTGATATCACAAGGCAGCGGAGGACACGGTTGTCATAGAGTTCCTCACCACTCCTGTTGAAGAGGCTTGGCTCATGTGCTGACTGAATAGAGAAAGCTAGTTCATTCTCCTGCTGAGTGTCACTCAACGGTTGATTAATAGAATGTGATTGTTTGGATGCCTGCACCTCTTTGTCCGGAGATCTGCGTTTCCTGGAAGATGATTTTCGACAGATATCTAAGTGACAGGGTTCAGTGAGCAGCTGAGATTGATGAAATGAGGAGACTGTACTGGGGGGTGCACTTTTGAAGTTGTGGTGCTTGTTGTCGAAGGTCAGGGCGCTGCGCAGGTTGGCAATGCTGGTGATGGTACTGTGGCCAATGATCCTGGCAACTCCTCGAACATTTTTTTTACTTGCTAGCTTGAGAAGTTCCACCTCTGGGCGCCGCTTGTCCGATACCCACGAGAATTTGACTACAACCTCTCCATCATCTGCGAGAAAACATGTAGTCCCACGACACACAATGGCACGTTGAAAGGAAAGCATTTCACCCAGCCGCAGCACCATTTCCTCTGAGGGTTCAGGTCTTTTGACAGTCATAGATTTGATGCCCTCTTCATCCCTAGCAATAAAGGTGTCTAGTCCCAGCTCCTCATCACTCATCATGGTGTAGCCCAAAAGCACCTGAAAGAACTGTCTTGAGTTTGTATAGATGTCGATGATGCCTGAGCTGTAGGGACCCGAGCGGTCAAACACCCATGCCTCCATCTTGGTCCCGCAGACAGTGAATGCATGGACAAACTGCCGGGTGGGCTGTGCAGCAAAGACCTCACGCACATAGCAGCCTATCTGCAGTAATGTGGCTTTGGTCCTGAGCTTCTCCTCAGGTTTTTTAAGCTCACCAACCACCAGGATATCTCTCCAGTTGTGTTTGTTTTGTAAGGGGGTTGTACTTCTAGCTCTCAGAAGGAGATCGATTTGCCGTTTTGCCTTAGAACTGATAAGATCTGCTTTGCTTGCTGTGGTGTAGTAGGTGCTGCGTGATTCCAAGAGAAGGTCTTTTTGAAGACGAAACCACCAGGCAAGGACATTGTCCTGTGTAGGAGGATCAGGAAACTGGGCCCAATCACCATCACTGTCTGAGGCCAGCACGCGTTGACAAATGGCATCTGCTTTGTCACTCCAGTCTTTCCCTTTGAAGTACTTGTCAAAGAAGCCCTCGACATCTCGAAATGTGCAGCCACATATCTCCCCAAAGATTCTCGGATTCACCAATTCACGCGTCTGCTCGGAACCTTTCTGCGATGATGAGGTGGATCTGACTGGCGTGCCGTCAAAGGAGGGGGGAACGCTCGCCGGAGGAGTTGATCGAGGGATGTTGTCAATGAGGTTAAATACAGCTTTCCAGACATCGAAGTTCCAGGTTGTGACATGCTGGGATTCAGTCGGAGGCCTTTGAATAACCAGGTGCACTAACGGCCGGTAGTTGTCATACTTGAAGTTTCCTTGTGCCTTTCGGAGATGCTCAACTAAGTGTGCTAGATCAGACACCACATCCCCATTACTCATTCGCGAGCGAAGGCTGTAAGCTGCATCCTCTCCCTGTAAAGCAGAGAGGAGTTTTGAAATCACATTTCGATAGAGTTGGTCCAGGCTCTCATCAGCGCCATCATAAATTAGACGCGACTCATGTATTCTTTCAGCTTCCTGAAGCGCGCCTCGTAAACGATCGACTAAGTTGGTTAGAGGATGGTTCTTGATAATGTCGCGATCTTCTTGTGAAAGTCCCGCCATTTTGACGGTATAAAAGACTGTTGAGTGGTGCAGGTAAACTGGGAGTTGTAAAGGGAGAAAAGTTCGGTTGGTATGCTAATTTTACATGATGAATGGGAAGCAAACACGGAACAAAAATGCAGAAATGTTAGGAAGTTCTGATGTATGATACTTGCGAGAGAAGATAACTCGCTGGGAACGGATGCTGGTATATATAATATTAATCAAAGGGAGGATTATGGTCAAAGGGTTGATCCGGCTTGGCGTTGATGCAGAACGCGAATGTGGGAACGGATAGAGCCGCTGAGCGAGGAACCAATAGGGAGATTGGAATCGTATTTTGAGGAAGGCAGCTATTCCTATTTGGGATTAAAACAGGCCAACCAACCAGTCGTGTTGCAGATGTGGGTAAGTGCTGGCTGCCAGGGAAGATGCATCAGGTCTTAGTACTCGGTAATCAGGATACATAAAGCCTCAAACAAAAGGTAGCATAACCTATTACAATGAAATATAATGTTGTTGTGACTAGGATTGAATGATATTTTGGCTACGTAAAGGCGTCAAACTGGATTACAGTATTTTAGTAGGTGGAAGAATTTGCTGTTCGACTCGTTGGGAATTATGTCAGGCAAGGAATACAAAATGTGAATCGATCCTTCTTGTCATGAAATCCTATTTATAATTATTAATAGCTAATTTCTGTACAGGAAACTTCGGTGGAAAGTTGAGCAAAATGAGCAGCCATTCAACAATAAAAATGATTATGTAAATTAGTTGCTCACAAAGATGGCGTTGAAGCAGTAATAAAGCCCACAGCACTAAGTTAACTCTCGGTTCCAATCGGTGGAATTATTGCCTATCTAAAGGTACGTCTCTTCTTGGACATATTGAATGCTTCAGCAGAGCTCTCTTCGTTCTCCCGGGTTACCGGAGCACCCGACGCAGCGTTCTGCAAACCATATGCCTCTTCCAATACAGATGTAAAACTAGAGCCTTGTATATCAATGCCTCCGACACCTTGCGAAAGTCCAGTTGATTCTGAGAAACTCAGCTCCGATTGATGTAATACTTCAGGTTGCTGTGATATCTGTGACGCCTGCATCACCTCAAAATTTACCTGTGGCAGTTCAATCAATAGCGGAGCATATTTTTCTTAAACTGGGAAGGTACCCCGTCATTGTACACACTCATAAAGAATTTGTACGGAAAAATGGTCTCAGCTACAGCTTGGCAGTTAGCGGAGAGGTTGGAGGAAAGGTCGCAGATTCCCCCAGAAACTGAGACTGTGCATAGGCTTGAAAATCCGTGATTGATGGAACGTTCTCCGGATAATAGCATTTCTAAATTCTGGAAATTATTTTGGTAAAAGGGCTTATATGAATTTTTAGTTGCATGTGCGACTTCGGCTCATTAAACATGCTACTATTCCTGATCACCAGGCAAGATCATATGACGCTGGCTCTTCCAATATGAGATGTCCCGTTTCTAGGATTACCTGCATGTATGCCTGACAGAGTAAACGTTGGATATCGGACATGAATCGCCTTGCTTCTTTTTTGAAAAATAATCATCTTCTGGATCTGGTCGAGCTAATATCCAGGCCCCATCAAAATGCCAACCCACTTAAGTCCTAGAGGAGCGACCTCTTCACGATTCTTCATGATTCTCTTTGTACGTAATAACATCGAACACTATCAAAATATTATCCATCTTACTCTGTTTCGATCCCACGCTGTCGTTGTTTCGCACTGTTGACAAGTGCAGAAAGCCATTCTGAGGCTTGTTGATTGTGTCTGGTTTCATCCAGTTTCATCCGCGCCTCTCTGAATTTAAGGTGAATAGAGATCGAATCTTCCCCTTCACCATTAGGCTCTATGATCGCTGATATGCAATAGCCCTGGCCTTTAACAGTTGGTATAGAGAAACCAGGTGCATCTAGAGTATCTTCGCTATGGCGGTAAGTTCAGATACCCGGCTTTGTCACGGCTCTCTAATTTCATCGCTTGTATCTAATTCACATATATCTCTAGATAGGTGACGAGGCTCTATTAGTCAGGAAGGTGGCGCCTTTTATGCTTATGACAACCTCAACACAGGCGAATGAGAGAAATCCTGCTGGTGCCATTCTACCTGCTCGCTTCCACCACCTTTTCCCCGCAGGAAGAATCACCATGGTGCAGCAGAAATGTGGTGCCATGGAGAGGAGGCCGGCCAAATCCTGGTAAAACAAGGCAGGAAATGAGTGTCACCTACCACCTTGCAATACCAGCCGCCATCCCTGCAGAAAGTAAGAGAAGATCGTAACCCCTCTCGCTTCATATTTCCTAAACTGTCTGACTGAAGGGGTGCTAGCTGATTGTCATGCGATCATAGCCGCTCCATTGCACGGTCTTATGGCATGCACGAATTTCCAATAGTGAATCAGTCTGTTAATTCATCAAAGTGTGAATTTGTGAAGATGGGGAAACTCGGACATTGCATTGCATTGTTGCATCATCCCTTTCTCTCCTGGTCAATTTTAGCACCCACGAGGCTGAGGCTGAAGTCCCTTTTCCAGTGAACACCCATCTTTGTTGACTCAGTATCTTGCTGCTGGCCAAAGGGATCATAGCGTGACTGAGAATTCACCTGCACTGGAGCAGTTTGGATCATGTCCACATCATGCATGAGCCATGCCGCGAGGCTTGAATCATCGGGGAGATTTTTTTTGTTCTCTGGACATGTTACTCTTGCAACTAGCCAGATCTTCCAGACCCTGCACTCCAGTCAGGGCCTGACATGTAATGGTCCGCGGTGCAGCAAGGTAGATACTGTTTCTGCCATGCAGAGGCATTTTTTTTTTTTCATTGGTGTACCATCTCAACAAGTGGGAGGCACTCATCACTGCTGTGCGCCACAGATGAGAAACATCGGGTTTGCCAACTGATTGTGAAAGGGAGAGATTAAGGACAACAAGTACCAGGACACAGAAAGAATGGGATTGGCAGTGTTGGCAGGATGGGAGTGCAGAACCCAAAACATCAAATATAGGATGTAGAGCAATAGCCAGTTGTGTATGCAACAAGAAAATGAGATCAAAAAAAATGAACAGGAAACCTCAGCCAGCCACAGTCCCAAGAAGACCAGATATCCCAGTAGCGGACCTCAGCCTGTGCATGATTTTAGAGTAACTTGACAGTAGAGTGAGGCGAAATTTTGGGGAAGAAGGGAAGTGGACATGGTCACTATGTCGCCAATAGTTTTAGCTGCGGCACAGCCGGGCCAGGTGACACTAGCAGTGGGGGCCAAGGGGAAAGCATGGACACGGCACACACGAGACAAGAGAATTACGAGGAAACAAAGGGAAAATAGGGATGATGGAGAGAAGATGTTCGAGCGGCGGGAGGAGGGGGTTTATATAGTCCAGAAAGCGGCGATATCGCGCTAAACTCAATTAGGATAAAGCTAAACCATGTAAAGTAATTCCCCATGATAGGTATAACGGCGTGCAAGGTTAAATGTTTGATATCACGTGGAATGTACGCTAAACTCAGAATAGCCAAAGGCTCAGAGAGCTAAGCGAAAAATGCAAGTCACCTGATCCACAACTCGACCGGACGAACTTTTTTGTGGGCTGGCGGCTTTTTCATACAGAACTCCGTCAAACCACCACATCCTCGCGTTGACAAAAGATAAAAGGAACGTTTCCTTCGACCAACGACCAACCCACAACAACTTCAAAATGGGCCGCCTCCACAGTAAAGGAAAGGGTATCTCCGCCTCCGCAATCCCTTATTCGCGCAACCCTCCCTCATGGCTCAAGACCACTCCCGACCAGGTCGTTGACCAGATGTGCAAGCTGGCAAAGAAGGGTATCACCCCCTCTCAGATCGGTGTTATCCTGAGAGATAGCCATGGAATTGCGCAGGTCAAGGTTGTTACTGGTATGTGTGGAAACCAATTCGAAAGGAAAAAAAGTGACTTAAACCTGCCGCGGGTAATAGCTAACAACCGCGGAATTGAATAGGTAACAAGATCCTCCGGATCCTCAAGGCGAACGGTACGAAACCAAATACTGTCACAGTTCCCCGCATGGTGGCTGCGGGATGAGAGAAAGAGAAATGGGAAACGAGAGGTGGACGTAAATCAAGCAGAGCCCTTTCTGTATAAAAGCGGGAATCTCCACGCTAGATTAACTGCATCTCCTGTCTTGGACAAGATTTCTCAAACCTATCCATCATATCTTGACATTTTTATGTCATATCAGCACTGCCTCTGCTTGGTCATTCAATAGGCTGACAGAGAGACTTTTTGCAATATGTACAGGCCTCGCCCCCGAAATCCCTGAGGACCTCTACATGTTGATTAAGAAGGTAATTATAAGAAATTTATTCTTTTATTGAACTACAATTTTCCCTCTATCCCTTATTGTACCCCTTATTGTACCCCTTATTTTGTGCCTTTTTCATATATTTATTTACTAAACGATGGAAATTAGGCCGTCGCCGTCCGCAAGCATCTTGAGCGCAACCGCAAGGACAAGGACAGCAAGTTCCGCCTCATTCTCATCGAGTCGCGTATCCACCGCTTGTCCCGCTACTACAAGTCTGTCGGTGTCCTCCCACCCACCTGGAGATACGAGAGTGCCACCGCCAGCACTCTCGTCTCATAAGCGAAAAAAAAAGAGATCCAAAAAACTACGAGATGTAAAATATTTGGTCATGATATTCGAGAGAAAATGTCAGGTTCAACGGAATTAGATACCTAGGTCGGATCTTGACAGGCGACGGAATGGGTTCGTTTGACTATGTTCGGTAATTACGAGAAAACATTTAGATGAAGTGACGTTTCCTGCCTTAAATGGACAGGAGCCTCAATATTCGCAGATGTTTTTCTTTCTACGTTCAGCCTTCGTGTAGCTGCACAAGTGTGTATATACTATTCATGTGCATGAACCTTTTAACAAGCACACTCGAAATTCATTGATACAAGTATTTCTCATATTTTTATACCATCCGACTTTGTGTGTTGCGTATTCACCAGTTAAGCCGGATTTCGAGTCGTGAGTAAGCAAGTACTCGAAGAACTAGACGTACTATCTCAGACATACTGGAATAGTTTCAAGTCAATCCTTGGAAATTCTATCACCAGAACAAAAATTATCAATAATGGCGCGTAGAAGAAGCGAGAAAATCACAGGAACAGCAAACCAGATGTGGGAAGAGATCAAGAAGGATATGTGCAAACTATATCCGAACAGTCTATATACGGGTATATTTATGAAGAAATGCAGCATCACGATGTCATCCAACACTAAACAACAACTCTAACAAAATTTAAATCACGGGAGTTTCAACCCTAACCTCCCTCGCAACAGCATTGCACAGCTCAACCCTCACTCCAGCACCAGTAAGCACATGAATCCACAACCGCTGGGTATCACTTAGCCGATCATTCTCAGACTTCACCTCCACAAACATAACCTCCTTCCTCTCTACGCTCCAAAGGAATAAATCTGGAATGCCTCCGCCCCGTTGCTGATATTCCTGCGCCATGACTTTGCACACAGTAGCTAGGGCCTCACCACGGAAACACTGTGCAATCTCAACTAGGTCGGAGAGGTTGAACGACCAGTCGATGCCGATGGCGCATGTTTCTTTCTCCGCTTCGCGGTCATGCACTTCACGGATAAGCTTTTCAGCATCACCGTTGGCTATCTGGGCAAGCCTGTGATTTATTTCTGAAGCGCGGGTCGGATAGAAAGAGTCTGTGTGTAGGTCTAAGGGGCAGGTCTGGAAAGGTGTTTGGAAGACGTTGGGGACGTATGTGAAGAGCACATCATAGAAGAGATACCCGAACTATAGGCGGGGGGAAGTGGTTAGTAATCACGGGAAATCTGACTGAGGTTCATATTATATCGTATTTAACTTACCAGTGTTCGAACGATGCCACTCTCGCAGTGGAAACCCTTCCATCCGTTGTCTCTATACCAGCTTAGGCACATGCTTTCGACTCTACACTCGCCTCCACCTTCTCGTTCATCCACCCAAACCGTAGGTCTACCTCTTCGAGATATGGAACTTATATTGTTCTTAGAACCAGGTTTGATTGGGATATCCTTTTCAATCCGAATCCCTTCCACGATACGTTCTTCTGGTTTAACCAACATCACATGTCCAAAATCGTGTTGCTCGCGCTTTGTGACCTTTAGCGACTTCTCCAACTTTGTAATTCGTTTTTGTAAATCATAGTGGTATATCAAATGACAGTCGGGATCTTCAAGGCCTCCTTCGCATGTACGGAGAGCTTTTCGTTTCCACTCCCGTCTCTGCATCTCTTCTGAGCGGTTCTCAGAAGGGGTCAAAGACCACATATAATGTTCTTCAAGCAGAGCTTTGCGCTGGTACCACGCTCCTCGACGAGAAGAGTGGAACAAACGCTGGTCAAGAAGTTCTGTGAGTAACTCATGCTCTCGTTTATATTCCTTGAAACGGCCCAAGGCATATAGGCCTTTATGAATGATCCGAGTGTAAACCCATGCAGGAGAAAATCGGCGTAGGTATGCGCCCTCTCCCGTTTCATAGACGCGTTCTTCCTTCCGTTGCTCTTCGGCGACCAGCGCCTTCCACCTTTCGTAAACACTTTCAGCTGAAGACTTAATAAGAGCTAACTTCTCCATGATGGGCATATTAGGTGACTCCAAAGTGCTGTCGATATCAAACTGCACTCGTAAGGCAGCTTCAAACTCGAGCAGTGCAAATCTGGAGGGGAAAATGGAATTGGAACGGGAAACGATATAATTTGGATAATTTCTCCGTGAAATTTTCGCCAGGATGATGGTTGTCAAGGATTTTTCAGTCCATTCCGTGGACCGATAAAATAGCAAATGAACCCTCTCGAAGAGTCTTAGTGGCGCAGAAGAGAGTCTGATGCAATCGCCCGTGTGGTCGAGGATCTTCTTCGTGAAGTACAAATCTCGAGTATTCCCTCGACTTAGCAAATTACTGATCTGATTTGGGTCAATATCACTGGATGCACCGTCGTCTGGCTTGTATCGCAGGGGCCAGCCCAGTCCTGATTGCGTCGTGCTGGACTCACGCAATCCTTTCAACAGCTCCTTCTTATTTTTGCCCTGAACTTTGGCTTCCTTCGACAAAGATTTCAATTCGTCTAGAAGTAGCAAGGAAGATGCTTCTTCGAGCGTATTTATTTGTTCCAATCCTTCAGCGAATTGAAACATTTCACCAAGAACGACTTCGTCAGGAGATTTCAGTGCGGTAAGAATTGAGGACTGAGGTGGAGGAAATGAGATTGGGAGCTTCCTGCTTTGCCTCAAATCCTCGACCGTGGCAGGCATATCCGCGATATCTTGATAGTAACCGAGGCGGTTGACCCGATGCCACGCTGACGTTTTGCGTAGAAAGAGTCGCACGTATCTATTTTCAATATTAATAAACACCACTACGTCTCGAATTGCTTACACTGTACCCTAATATTAGAAACGGACGTACAAATATTGTGATTCATAGGGTAATCCTCTCCAATGATTAAATACAGCCATTTCTGTTTCGTCAAACAAATGGGCTTCATCTTCCAAAACGTTCTCTAATGCGAGATTGAACGCATCCACATATATGGAGCTTTTGCCTTTCACCCAATGTCGTTCCTCGTAGCGCTGAAGGCTCTTTGCACCTTTTTCGATCTTTATTTCTTGGGCCTTTGAAATCTCATAGTTCGCGATCGCTTCATTGTCTGTTTTTATAGGGAGAAGAGCGGTCTCTAAATCTGTTTGGGTGCTAGGCAGATAATCTTCTGCGCTACTATTATTGTCGATCCCATAATCATCATTATATCCAACCTCCGTTTCTGATGGAGGTATACGGATTTCAAGGGACAAAGCATCTGATCCGGATTCCGTATTTGAAGAGGAGCTACCAGGACTTCCTGTTCTCTTCAACCTTTTCGAAGGTGGATTTATATCCTCGAGCATGTTGAGCTCAAGGGTGAACCTTGGAAGAGTTCCTGTAGCTCGAGTGGAAAAACTATGAACAATGCCAGCATCGGAGTAGCACCAGAGGCAATTCAAGATGAGTATTCAAAACATGATGTCCTCGCCGAGCGGTTAAACAAGAAAAGGCCTCACCAGTTAAAAATGGTGTCCGGATGAAGGAAAGTGGAGAATTAGGCAAACGCGACGCCTGAAAACGACGACACGTTATCACATGACCCCTTAACCACAAACCTTGGAAATGGTTGTTTGTATTGTTTGCAGCGAGGTTCAAACCTTCATGCAACCAGCATCAAGATGAAGCGGCAAGGGATGCGACAAGAGGAACGATAATGGCATAAACCTGTTTACTCCGGCATGGCTGAGGCACCAAAAGACCAATCTCCGATAGCTACACAGTCTGAGCCCTATTCCTCTGCACCTCTTCCTCCCCCGCCGGCCAACGAGTCTCGGTCGTCCCACTCAACTCCACAGCTTGGCGCGGAATCGCAGCTATCACTGTCACCTCTGTCTACCAGTACTACCGCGACCATGAGGAACATAGATTCTGTACGTAAAACTAAATATCATATGCATTTGGGAAGCAGACTTTGAGAGACGTACCCATAGTGTATCAATTGTCAACTTCTCCCATTATTCTGCACATCTCATCCTCCTGCCATTCGAAATGCGCAGGCTTCAAACAGTGCAGGAAGCTTGCAACAAGCAACAAAGCTAACAGAATTCCCCACCATAAATTTAAATATTTGAACGTAGCCCGCGCAACAGCTTCCTGAAGAAACTGCTCGTCTGCCCTCTCCTCCTCCGCCGCAACACCCACCCGCACCAACCGATCTCAATAGCACCCACTCCCAGTCCGTTAAGCAATCAAACCAAGAGGAAAAGCGCGACATCGCCATGTCCGGAGGCGGGATGAGCAATGACCAGCTACAACCCCAATCCCAACCTTCCGTGCCTACTACGTCCTCTACCGCTACAGCTCCCTTGGCCAATACCTCCACCTTAAACAATAGCAACAATGCATCCACCACCCCGATACCCCAAGTACGTCCAGGCGGCGCACCAGCGCGTGTATACATGAACGAAAAGATCGTGCCGTATTTATTAGAAGGAATGAAAACTCTCGCGAAAGAGCAGTGAGTGCCATTTCCCTCTGCTCTATTCCTTCTCCTCTCTCGGTTCCTTCCCCCTTCTGACTTCGAGTCTATAAATAAATATATTTTTATATATATATAAAATGTTTCTTTTCCCGCCTTTTCTGTGTTTGTCAATTATGTGCACTGGAGAAACTAACAATTGGTGCGAAATTAACACAGACCCTCGAATCCCCTACGCGTCCTAGGCGAATATCTCATACAAAAGAGCAATGAAATTGAGGAATGAATAGGCGGATATTCGTGCTCGATGCAGGTATATCTCAAATTGCAAATTGTACTCTAAATGCGCGCTGGGGAATAGCAGGGCCCTGGATTCCTGACTTCGTGCCATATGCAACTTTACAATGCGATTTCGTAACAAACCGAAATGGGACGGCTTTCGCAAATGGACTACATATAATGGGCTCAAAGTAATGAAGTAATGGGAAAGAAGAGCTAGCGATAATTACTCATTTCGCTTGACTTCTGTTTGCGACGGCAACCATAATTAGGACGATATATGAAAAACATACAAACGGGAAATTTCAGGTCCGCGGCGAATCGGCGCTGTGTGAAATTTTGACCATGTATTGATTTATGGTTTCTTAGGGAACTTGAATACTCATTTTTTCTTCTATTTAAGTTTATCTCTGTACTCTATTAGTTATGGAGATCATTTGATAGGACTCATTCTTTGATCATGATCCGGGAAGTGAGATGATCTCTGTTGACTTTAGTAGATGGATCATGAAATTAGGTGGGATATTTGTAGCTTTCAATAAGGGGGAAAAAGCAAGTCAGATTAGATGCAAGCCTGCAAACAGTAGCAAAGTTTAAGAGAGGCGGGGTTCAGTTCAGTTTTGCTTCGCATCTGACGTCCTGGTCTCAGAAAACAAAACAGACGCCTCACAATCCGCAAGTAACGGAGACAGGTCGAGGATTTAGTCAAACTGGTCCATATCTGTATAAATTCCTGTCTGTCTGGCGAAAGGGTTTGTCTTCCACATTGACTTGGCTCATTCCTTGACTCAATCTTTTTAAGGTGGATCTGCCGCGAAAGGAAGTCACCAGGAGTGTGTTTTGCATTATACTCGAGCGGCGATTATCATTCATGCCTCCCATTCTAAAGAGATACAGGAAGGAGTTACAACGAATTCAGGCTTTAGAATAGCGTTAGTAATCAACATCCTTATCGGGTATTGTAAAACTTGATACTATCATCGAAGCTAGCGAGGCTGACATGGCTCGCCGGCCAAAAAGCTGAAGTGAAAAAAAGTTAGCACGACATGTCAAATTTGCAACTTACCATTTTGTTTGGGTTGGAAGTTCGTTGCTATTTCTGCTGAAAACAATGAAGCATAAAATGTTTTGACTGGGATGCACTGCAGTTTTAATTATATGACGAATTCCTATAATGTGGCTTGTACGAAGTCGAACAGGTTGGCAAAAAAGCGGAAGGTGGGCACGTAAGAAGACAGAGGCTTGGCCAGTTACCGCGGTACACAGACAATCTTTACGGCGGTCTTGAACGGGTGATCACAGGTGAATATTATCAAAGAAACCGAAAAGGAATGGCGGCTACAAGTAACGAACATGGCGTCATGATGACTGATTTGTGCTGGACTCCATGAAACCTTGGCTTTTTTGAGACGCGAGGCGGAAAGTTTTTCTGTGGTACTATGAGCTGACATCTCTGCTCCTCTTGGGCGAACTCTTGGGACAGTCGTTACCTGGGGCTGATGAGAGGTGATACGGCGAATAAAGTTGAATAGCGATAACGACCATAGCTGAAACTGAAGAATAGTGCTGACCACAAGAAAAACCGAGGGTATTACAGGTAGACATATTGTTTTTTGTTTTTGTTTTGTTCAATCCGCCGCCAATTTGCGATATCCGTGCGAGAAGAAAGAAGGAAAAAAACCATATAGACGGGATCTCAACACCAAGTTAGCCTGGGGCTGATCATATCGTACGAGGTTGGAAGAATGTTTTCCGTATTCGCCGACAAACCATGTATGCGCGAAAAGTTGACTTTTCTGGGAGACAAAATAGAGAAGCGCCGCCGTAACCGTCGATCTTGACCCTCAATTGAGGGTAGTGACATTAAACCATTCGTGGAATACAGGAACAGAAATAAAATAATAGAAACAAGAGAAAAATAAGAAAGTGGAGAAGAAAGAAAGCAGTCCAAAAAGTGGCCAATGGTCATTGCCGGGCCACAATTTGAAGCTTTCTTGATCCTTCATACCTACCTATCTGGCGCCATACCTGTCATCTCCACCACGGCCTTCGTAGCCACGGCCTCCGTATGGATCACGGGACTCACGGGGAGGTGGTGGGGCATCCGCAAATGGGGCAGAATGGTGTGAACGAGCATCGTCGCGATCGTAGTAAGCGCGACGATCATCTCCACGGCGGTCATCACCGCCACCACGACGCTCGTACCTGTCTTCACGACCTCCTTCACGGCCTCCTTCACGTCCCCCTGATGTCGCATAACGATCGATACCACGGTAGGATGGCTCGTCGCGGAAGTCACGGCGACCGTAATCCCGACTACGTTCATTGTACGAATCATAACGGCCGTAGCGGTAGCTATCATCTGGTCGACGGCCACCACTGGCGCCATATCCTCCCCGACGGTCATCATAACGGTCGTAACGGCCGCCACGGGGCGGGCCACGACCGACTGCATTATAAGTTAGCCATGCGGTTGTTGATAAACGTTACATTTGAGATTTTTCAAACACATACAGGCTGTTCCACGTTTTGGCGGACCAAAGTATTTCCCAGGGGTTGGCGTTCGGGGGCGGCCACGACGAGCCTTCTCAATGCTAAGAGTTCTCCCTTCGATGACTTCACCTTGAAGGCCTTCCTTTGCCGCGTCCGCTTGCTCTGAAGTCACCATCTTCACGAAACCGAAACCGCGCGATTCCTTTGTGTGCGGGTCAACCATAATCGAGCAGTTCTCAACATCGCCATATTTCTCGAAGAGGCGAGATACGTCTGATTCAGTAAGTCGTGGGTGGATACCGGTAACGAAAAGATTAGAGCCAGTATTGACGCTTCCTTCATCGTCGTCGTTTCCTTTCATAGCCCGATCATTTTGGGGTACGCTAGGACGATATATTAGCCCACGAAACTCCCGCTGTTTAAGTAAAATAAAAGCCCATACTGAGCTTACCGGAGATGATCACCGCGGCCGATTGGAGACATGCTTCGGTTCCGAGCTCCACCTCTCCCGTTGCCTCTTGGAGAGGCGCTACGATCGCGATCGAATCGGGGCTCGTCTGAAAAGATCAGGAATTAGTTCGGGATCACGCAAGCTCTTTGCATGTATTCGCTCATACCATCAAAACGACCATTCTCCGCTTCGTACTCCATAGTAGCCATCGGTTTGTATGGAGATCAGAGGAGATATGTTAAAAAAAATGGACGGGGTATGAAGAGTGGCGAAGGTGTTGAGAGTCGGATTTCACAAGTGGCAGAGCTAAAAGACGAGGGAAGAAACCGGAAGTCGACAAAGCAAACCTCTTCAGAAGAAGACAGAAGCAAAAATGAGATACACAAAAGGAACAAGAATAAAACTAGTCCACGCTGTTGGGGGTTTGTTGATAGAGCGAGGTGAGGTGAAAAGAAAATAAGGGCGACGGTCACAGCAAATCTGGAGCTGGGAAGAAGGAACGACCATTAGCGCGTTGGCGGCTCAAGTGGTGGCCTGATAAAGACTAGCGTCATCTCGACATGAGCGAGACCCCAATTCAGCCGTGCGGCTCTGGCGTCTAAAGAAAAGGCAAAAAAACCAGCTAGAGCTTGATGGAATGATTGAAATAACTTACAGTCACAATCTCTACAAAACAGTTACCGGGCACCCGAAAACCCCTTTAGTTGAATAAATCTGAGACCATAATTATCATAAGATCCTAACCCTGCACACATACCATAAATCCTAGTAAACATGTGGGTATGTAAAAACAAAAGCGGGAAAACCAAAATAATAAACACAAAAATAAAAATGAAATCAGATGAACTATAAATCAACGCCTAGAAACTTAGAACCCCTAATATCACTCCGTCCAGTCCAGTATATTTATCTTTTAAAACCTTTCCATCGCCTTCGGGTCTTGTGAGTTTTCGGTTTCAAGGCACCAGCAGCGGCAGTATCCTTAGCGACGTCGCCGCTAGGTCCTACTTCAGGACCCGCGATTGGAAAATCTGAAACGTATTCGGGAGCCTCGTCCCCGACAAGATTCCGAAGCTCGTCCTCGCCGATCTCGCTTAGCTCCTCACTCATCCCTCTGAGCACTTCCCGACCAGTCCATCTCTCCTCATGAACGGTAGTCCCGATAGGATCGAACGGCTGCATATACCACTGTATACCACCTTGAGATAAAGGAGGTAGTTCTTTGCCAGCCAGAGAATTAACAGGCGAAGCCGGGGAGGCGGGAGAGACCATTTGTATATCACGAGAAGAAGAAGTATCTGTAGGCTGAGGTACGGGAGATAATTTAGTAGAAGTTGCTACGACAACCCCATTCGTTTTCGAACCCAAAACCTCCTTGTCGAGACCACTTTTCGTTGCCCCGTTCACATCGACCATTGTAACATCTTTATCCCCAGGCGCAGCCTGCTTCTCAGGCTCAGCATGCAGAGGTTCTGTAGGTTCTGCGGCGGGTTCTTGTGCATCCGCCTGATCGACTTCAGCATTGGTCTTTATCCCGTTAACCAGCGGATCTCGCTCCGTAGTCTTAACGTCATTTGTCGTCTCCCTGGGCGTAGCAACAAATGAACCCCTCTGCGAGAGGACGCTATCTTCCAACAAGGCATCCAAATCTCTTAGTTCCTTTTCAAAAGGCTTCCCGTTCAACTCGCTTTCCTTCCTCAGAGAATCTTCCAAAGCTGGCTGTATCGCCTTGATGATCCGTTTTGCAAGTTTTCGTTTTTCCCTTTGCTCTAAGCTAAGTTCTGGGGCCCGTCCCATGATCTGCATTTGCAATTCAGCTGTATCACCCACAGAATCAACCCCAATTTCGGAGGTGAAGACGTTGGCAAGATCACGAGAAAATGATGAAACCGAGGTATATGCTCGTTGCTCTAATTTTGACCGAATGGATAGTAGCCCGAGACGGAACGCACCTTTCCCGTCGAGCCTATAAGCAATGTTAGCGATCAAGAAAGACACATATTCGCAGGGATATAGTATACGTACGCAAATGCCTTCTCAAGCATTGGCCAGAGCATCGGAGGGATGGGAAAATAAACCAAATCAACTATGCTGCGCAGTATCTCCGCGTCTTTGAGCTTTTCTCGCTCCCGCTTCTTCACTTCGTCGCACAGCATCCTAACCCTGTCAAGATCCAAGTAGAGTTTATCCGCAAATGCGATCCTACGCTGGAGCCGAACAGTTCCGGCCACTCCCATTCCCGCAAAATTACGTCTTGTCATTTCCATGGATGAAAAAGTTTCAAGTTGGAGCTGCAACCGTTTAAGCAACGCTGCACCCCGACGAGATTCTCGTTTCAGGGTCCAATACTTGCAGGCGTCTTCAGCATACTGCTTCCGTTGTCGCACCGTAAACCGCTGTAGAGACGCGATGACACTGTTCAACACGACTTGAGGAATAACTGGCGCTCCGGAAGGTAATTTCCAAATGGTTTTTGGAAGAGTGCGCTTGCGTTTGTTTCCGCCCACTGTAAGTGTAATCCGAGGTGTAATCGCTCGATTGTCCTCCCCGGCAGGGTCAATCCCGTCTTGTGAATCTGTGCCCAAAGCCAAAGCCGCAGCCTGACTATCGCCCCACCTTCGGCCTTGCATCGTGTTGCGATAATATTCCAAGGCCTCTGCAGTGGCAGCATCGGTATTGTGTTCTATTCTCCAGTCCGGTGGAACATGCTTGTCGCAAAATGCTTTTAAGCTGCTCGATTCCATGACTGCCGGAGCTCCCGGTATTAATTTCATCTTTAAATATAGGCGAGCCCGCCTTGCGCAAGTAACATGAAAAGCAACAAAACAATTTTTGTTGCTGCATTGAATGCACGCTCCCATTTTTTGTCGGCAGATGTAGCATGTAAGTTTCCAACGATTTCTGGGAACTTTCTCGACCTCATTTACCGGTTCCATTAACGATGGGTTCCCAATGGAGACTTCAGGTATCCACACTGCGCAAAGTAGATGTGACCACTTCGAGGTGTTCGTTTGCTTGAAGGCTCCCTCGGTGTTAGGGCAGAAGATGCACGATGGGGATCCACGGCCAATCAGTTGACACTTTCTACACAACCACTGGCCTTCGGGGATATAAGGGACGCCATAACATTCCTGATGAACCGCGAGGTCGCACCCATCACAGAAGACAATTGCATTTGCATTCTCACAATCACCATCGTCACATATTGCACATTTGCTATCCTGCTCTTCCCCAGGGCCAGCATGTTCGCCGTTAACAGCAGCAGCAGAGCTTGAGCGTGGCCGTTGTGTTTGTGGTGGTTTAGGATTTGGTTTCGGTATACGCTTCTCCAAGGCATGCCATTCCTTTTCAATTTTGGTCATGGTAATCTCAAAAACAGCAGGTTTGATAGGCTCAAACTGTTCCTCCCTCCTTTGCGCATTATACGTCTCCAGCCATTTGGCATCTTGTTCATCCATATCATATTCCACCCTTCCAACTCCAATATTTCCAATAGTAGTGTTGGCCTCACCGTCAACGGGCGTCGATGGGCTTAGATCCAGATCTTCCTCGGCCGCACCTTCGGCCATACGAATTAATCGCCGTTCATGACGAAGAAAAATATCACTCTCTTGGTAACCAACGCTTGCCATGGTGCGGTCAACATAATTCTGCTGTCCAACACCCTTCTGTTCGAAGGGAAGAAACGGGTCTTTAAGGACAAAGGATGGCTTAGGCAAGGTAAGTTTCTCGCGGGGATTAGGTCCAGGAGGGGGTACAATTTTCGGTCCGTTGGGCGTCCCAATCCCATTTGTGTAGGTCTCACTTAATCGTGGACGCCCTGGTCGTCGCTTTACGGGAGTAGAGGCATTTGGTAATAATTCCACGGCGCTATCTCCGCTTTCATCGGTTCCTCTGCCTGAGTGGCCATTTGGGAGCGTAGAGCTTGGTTTGATTCCGTCGACTTCATCGGAGCTGAAAACGGCGATTTTTACATCGATATCAAGGTCCGGATGAAATTCCTCCCAACCCCTCTCTTCCCTAGGCTTGTAACCATCACCTTGCGCAACAGCAAGGGCCGCGGCAGCAGCAGAACTGTACCTTCGCGTTTGATTTTTTTCGCGCCTGGGTCGACTAGAGGCAGGAGGGGTGGTGGGCTGGGTTCGCCTCACGACATTGTTGCTGGAAGGCTCGCGCACAGGTCGAACTCGAGGAGTCGTATAATTCGAAGAAGGCATTTCCCTTATTAATCTCGCAGGCGTTTCATTCCCATCAACGTCAACATATCTTCCTCCACCGCCTGGCCCCCCAGGAACATACCTCCGCCTCTTTGGAGGTGGTTCACTGTTGACGGCTGGGTCTTCAGTCTGGCTAGTTCTGAGGACCTTCGGTTGCGGTCGAGGAGTTCGCGGGTTAAGTGTTCTCTTTGAGGAAGCCAGCGGCGCCATAATCGTAAATCGCAGCTTAGGCAGTGGGGTCACGAGCCTTCAATAGTGGTTGGGGTTCGTGGTAGTTTGGTTTGCAAAGGGGCGAATGAATGTAAACGTTGGAATGCTCGTAGCGCGACATATGAACGCCAAGCCGTTACCAAAGCGGTGCAGCCACGCATAGGAAAGATATCCGCGCCAGATGCGACGGGTTTGGCAGCTTTGATAGCTCTGTCTGTCTCTCTGTCGTTTTAGACGCGGTTTGGCCCGAAGACGAGAGGTTTCTTGATCATGAAAGCCCAACTAACTGTATTAAGGATAGCGCCGGTGGTTGCGAGGGCTAGCGCGACCACCTGACGCTGTGAGCATCAGATGCTCATCTCCGACTTCTGCGCATCCCAGCGCTGACAAGCCATTCTCTCAACGAGCTCTAGTGCCACAATGAGCGGCGCAGGTGACGATCGGTATGTGTGTGTATCAACTTGCCTCCTACAAATTCACTGAAATCTGGGCTTGCTAACAAAAAAGCTTTCCTCCCAGGTGGCGCGGTGGGCGTGGCTTAGACCAGAATCGCCAGCATGGGCAGCGACACCAAGGCGGAAACCTGCGCGACCGATCGCTAGGAGGACATCAGCAAGATCGGCACCCACACCGGGGTTATGGAAACAACGCGAATGCGACCAATTCCTGGGGCCCTCTGCATGGGGGACCTCCCCAGGAACAGCATATTCCCGTGAAATCCTTCAACGCTGCGGAGTCGAAAGGCGCGCTCAAGCAAGGTATTCATTCTCATGTCTAAACACGAAACCTGAGGGCATTTTATAGATTTTAGATTGCTGAGATCGGTATAGGATATCAGAATGTCGGCTCGCGTGGTGAGTTACAAACAAAACATCAAGCTCCTGTTTACAGTACTCCCTCCTCATATATAATACCAAAGCTCATTAAATTGTCATAAACCAGTTCCGCTCGTCTATAAACCAACTGACAAGGAAGTGAATAATTCACGGGCAGCCAGTGGTCCGTGGGGTTCAAGACGTACGTTTCATCCCTCCCGGAGAGCCAGATAGTGACAGTTACTGAGAGACAGCAGCAAATTGTATGGTCAATGGAAAGGACTTTTTCCTGGAGCTCCGAAAGCAAGTGTCTGCTTTACGGCAAAGCGGCAATAACCCTGTGGGCGGCTAATGCTAGCCATCAAGTCAAAAGATTTTTGACCCCGTGGGCAGATGTGTTTTGTGCATTTTATTATGAGCGGTCGTATTTCTTTTTTACACTTCACGGATAGCGGTTAGTCATGATATACCCAGTCATATTAGTTGAGCAAAAATTCGTTGCTTTTCATTTGCATTAGAGATGATGCACCAAAGACTTTAAGGTGGACACACTGCGCCTATTTTCTTCACTCCGAACAAGACCTGACTCCGGGGTAGTCGCACTCTACTCAGGATGAAGATGGCTTGTTATGTTTGCTGAGCTATTAAAAAGATCTTTCCACGCAGACAAATTATTTTTACAGTCTATTACATTCCTCATTTTTTCATTTCGTTTCCAGGCGGTGGTACGGTACGGATGCTTTATCGCATATTGCATTTTCCCCTTCAAACTCCTTGGTGTCGCGTTATCAGGCACTGTATTACATATGGAACCTGCTGAAACACTAACTGCCAGCCCAGCCTTCTTGAGCACATAAACATTAAAACTATGCATTCATACTCACCCAAGCAGCTCTAGAATTGCCACAATTTCTATTTTTGCCGATAAACGAGTTCTGTATTCAAATCATGCACTGCATGTAGGTAACCGATGATGTATAATCTGTACCTGCTCACAATTTCAGAGTTGCTTCAACGACTACAGTAAAATGCCCAAGTCTTCCATTGCCTAGCCAAAATGAACCCACAATACACTACTCCGTTTGTGTTGTGATATAGTGCAGATATATTTATGATGAATGACACCATCATGCTCTCCCCTCTTCACTCGACAATCACACCAATGTGGGAATAATTTATACCGCTTTGATCATAACTTGATTCAATCTCCAAAATAGGGGTCTCTTCAGTGCGACGATCATAGTCGATGACCTTAGCGCCTGGTTGAATGGGTACAGTACTTTCATAGCGGTCAAGAGGTCTCCAGCGAACACAGATACTGACCAACCAAAATACTCCTCAGTTTGCCAATCTGTCTATTATTGGATATACATACGATACCTAGGTATATCTTTAGGCGTTCATGTGCTCAGACTGAGCGACGGTCAGCGGCGAAACCAAACCCCCCACAACAACCAGCCGGGCGCAGCGGCTAAACTCTCTCTCTATTGGGCAGAGATGAGAGCGCCCAGCGGGCCGTGCGGCAACTTAAATCTCTAACAGGGGCAAGTTAGGTACGTAGTTAACTAACTACCAGACAGCAAGCGGTCCCGCGTTTGACCTCACTGAGGTTGATGGAGAACGAACAGATAGAAAGTCCAAACCAAACCCCCAAAAAAGACAACAAAGAGACATCAAAGTCAATCTAGGATCCTGAAACCCTGACCCGAAGGCCACAGGCAGAAATTAAAATAATGCACGCTCCTGTGCAACAAAAATATACGAGGAAGAATCCCGCATTTGTTGAAAATCAATCCTAACGAATCATTCCCGGGCGACCCGGCCCTTTGGCAAGAATAAAAAAAATAAAAATAAAAATAACAGGAGTAATGAAAAAGGAGACCGGCGCTGCAAACGCGGCCCACACCCACCAACCCCCTCCCTCCCCAGATTCCCTCTGATTTAGCCCTATCCTATGCCAGAGATCTAGCTAGGGCCTCTAAAACTGGCATAGCTTCCGGCAAGGATATGAGGGTAGGAATACCTCACTATCTCACTTACGGCATGTGAAACTAACGGAAAAGATCATCGGCCTATTTCCTCCCTGCTGGGACGCGCATTGTCCCTTCAGTCAGTACGGAGTATATTTAGAAGTAGGGAATATGTTGCGTGCAGATTACAGCTAAACGCCGAAGGACATTTCTTCTTGGGACGCTAAACTACACGCAGAGTGGAGATCCTTGGCTAGCTTCGACACTTTGACCCCTTTCGCTGCCCGATACCCCTTCACCGGACGCAGACAGATCGGCTCTATGATTTTGAACGGGGGTAAACTGGATTTGTGATAAACAAGAGGTACATGTAACTACAGCAAAAAAAATAAATCAAATAAAAATCAAATAAAAATAAAAATGAAAATATGAGGAAAGGGAAAAGGAAAAGGAAAAGGAAAAGGAAATATTTTCATTGTACTGAGTAAGTTAGTTAGTTAACTTACTAACCATCCACCCGGGGCCACCCTTCGCAAACCTTTTCAAAAATAAATTAAGCGCTCCCTTCCAAGACCCCACCCAATCCGACCCCCCGCGTTGCTTGAAACAGGACCGCCATTCTGCAGCCTCCAGCAGGGGGAACCCTCCATCCGCACCTCCCTGAGATCCAATGGGTTCTTTCTCATCGTTCAGGGATAGTGGGGACCAGGCCATGCCAGGCCAGGACCATCGATGCGGAAGACCACGTAGGGTAGGGGGCCAGCGCTTCACAGCGGTTGCCCACCACTGCCACCACCTAACCTCCCTTCCCTTGAGTCCCCTTGGCCCCTTTCTCCCGCCCTTACCCTCAGCGCTCCCAGCGCTTGAATCCACCACCCACCACCCACTAGCTTCTCTGAATTCTTGCATTTCCAACACCCCCCATGACAAACAATAATGGAGAATCACTCCCCAG